CCTGTGGGCTACAATAACTCACCAAAGCTTTAAACAGCTCTGTTCCTGAACAAAATGCAAGCGCTGTAACATCGACCATTACACGAAACATCAGCGAGGTAATGAGGCCTGTACAGTGGTGTGTATATACGCTGAAATTTCTTTACAGTCAGAACTGTTGTAGCCTGGAGGTCCAAAGCCTCGTCAGTCCTCCGATTGGTCATGAGTTGAAAGCCACCTGATAATGCCTTGTTATTGCCATTATGTCCTTGAAGAAGGCCATTTAAAGCCGCTCCAGGTGGCCTGTTGCTGCTTTTAGCTTGTTTAAATAACTATGGGTTAAAGTCTCAGCCAAATTACATTTCTAAAAGCACACGTTTACACGTATTTGTATGTGCTTGTGTTGGAAAGGCGAGCCCATGTCTCAGAGAAGCAGACTCATAATTGTATGTGTGCTTTTTCTTGTTTTATACAATAATAGTGAAGACTATTGGTTGGGGACATTTAATTCAGTTATTAAGATGTAAACAAAGTCATTCAGAGTGGTACGACATGAAGTGGCCATTCTAGATAAACCTACTGAGTCAGAATTGTTCACAGTGGTGGTGATAGGAACCAGACGTCAGAAGAGTTTAACGTCTCTAAAATCTCTCTCACAGAAAGTAATAAACAGAAAATGAATTGGTTTACGATAGTTGCACGATATATTTTCGGCCTAAAACCTATTTTTAAAAGACATTTGCAGCAGAGAGCTACACGCAGGTACAGTAAGGCAAAATAGTCCCCCAGAAAACATTTAATTTCAGATTTACTACAATTTTACCATCATTATTACACATAAAAACTCAGAAGACACGTGTAGATTCACTAGTGGTTTTGGATGGGGTGTAAAATCAGTAAGTATCTCTACAATAAACCATTTCACTCTGAATGGCTTTGACAGAATTATGCAGAAATTCTGAAAAACAGGTGGGATTTCCATTTATTTTTCTCAATATAAATGTCTTAGAAAAGAATTTTAAGCAATTAAATGTCTTTATGAACAGTACACATTTAAACACGCATGTCCAAACACTGAATTTCTTCCCTGCTAGATCTGCCCTGGTCAACTGTAAGTGCTATTATTGTAAAATAGAAGCATCTCAGTCAACAGCTCAGTCTCAAAGTGGTAGACCCTGAGTGGAGCCTTACCAAGGTCCTTTTGACTAAATGGACACAAAATTTCTACTAACACACTCCAAAAACTTGTGGAAAGCCTTCCCAGGAGAGCGGAGGCTCTTATAGCCACTTTCAATTCTGTACTATTGTCCATGGTTTTGGAATGGAATATCCAACAAGGTCACATAGGTGTGATGGTCAAGTGTCCACATACTTCTGGCCATGTAGTGTACTTCTGCAGTCAACCCTGACAAGAGTAAGAAGTGATGTTTGGCGAGACACCTCAACCCTCAATGATTAACTGTGGCAAGAATCCCTCAACTCATTGATATTTAACTACCAGACCATTCATTTATGATCTACCAGATATGGCTTTGAGATTGACCTTGCCTCATAAGGCCTTTTGGAGTCTCTTGTTTGTCACTCAGTTGTGCTTATACCCAGCCATTAGCAGGTGCAAACTGCAAGCCATCGTATGTTTACCTCAAACTGCTTCGAGATCTTCTGCCCCGGCCTTCTCCACAGACCACGATGCATGGATCCTCACCTGTGAACCATAAGCTAAACCTTGCATACATCTCAGAGAAGACTGTAGAGGACAAATAAGATGAGTTCTTGGTGAGGTTTTGTTTAGTCAGGGTAAAGCCATGTATTGAAATGGCTCCATTTGTACTTAATTGTGGTCTAAATGGGAATCAACAAACATGTAACGTGTGATTCCTCGCTCTTCAGACTTCAAACACATCAGAAGTCTCAAATGTGTGTAAAAAAAGAAGTATGCTTCTAAAAGCAGGCTTAGAACTAAAGTTTAACTGTCTAATGCATGGTGTTGCCATATGGCAACAATTAATTTATCTCAATTTTACTAAAAGGCAGTAAAAAAAATCTGTTTTGCTATTTAATTGTGGAAAAAGCGTCTTTTACTTTGAAAGGACAAATACTTTAGAACAACACATGACCAGGAAATGTTATTATACTGTTATTATTACCACACATTCCAAATACCAATTGAAATTTTACTACTTTCCTATATTTGTAAACATTGGGTCGTACATTTCACTAAGTCTAAGTTGGATTTGTTGCGTCTCGTTTTCAATAAAAGGATGTTTTTAGAGAATAATTAGATTTTATGGTGCTTTTTTTTTATGGCAACAATTTACCCACTACTACTTTTCTTCAAATATTTCCATTATTTAAGCAATTTTAAATAACAAAAACACAACAAAACATTTTTATCATGTCTAAGTAATAATTCATGCAGTAGAGGGTTAACACTGAGTGCGGAAGCTGGCAAGATGAACTTGCTCTGTTTGTTCAGCTTTGTCTTCCATTTGTCCTTCTGAATATGCCAGATTAAAGCTTAACCACTCACTGACACAGAACGTACCTTCTCTCACGACTTCTCTCTCTCCTTCATCTTGTGATAACAGTGGAAAAAGGCCATGCAAATACCGGAGTCATGTGCTGAGTCCATGTTACCCTTGATTTTAGGTTCTGCTATACATGGAAAGTAGGGGTGGGAATCTTTAGGCACCTCACCATTCGATTCGCTTACGATTCAGAGGCTGCGATGCGATTATAAAACGATTATCGATGCATCTCGATGCATCTTTTTTTGCTATACATGATTTCTATTTTCCAACTGTGAGAGGACTTGGTAGTTTTAAACCAAAGTATTTGTAATGATCCATAGTGAATTTACTTCCAGTATCTTTTATTAATAAATCAAATGGAAGTGATGTGGCAAGTGAACTAGAAGGCTCTCATTCACTGCTGTTTAGAGCACATGAGGCGCTGCTGCCACTCATCTGCGAAAAAATGCGCTGTTAGGGTGACACAAGATCCAGTAGTCATGGATGACCATGCAGCACATTACAGCCATTCTACTCGTTTTCTTCAGTGATTTTATAACTTTATAACGGTTTTGGTCTCGTTGTAGAGAGTGGTGGGCTCTCTGTGTCAGTAAAATATCTTTTTTTTGGGAACCAGGGCGAAAGACTGAGAACTGCCATGCAGACTGCAGGTCACTTAGCAACGAAGCTTCGCCCAGCTAGTAGCGAACCAAAAGGCATAGATTTAAGACGAACATTTGGAGAAGAATGGACTTGTTCACATTTATAAGCAGCGCAGTTGGTTTCCTGATACGTTAAATCTGCAGTGAGAGACTGTCAAACACTAAAAGTCACAAAGATGAAGTCGCTTCTCTTTCTAATTCTCCTGTTCCACCTTAAATGGTGCCGCATTTACATTCGGGGCCTCAGGCAGAATTTAAGATGGAACGGGAAAATTTAAACAAGAAGCTGGAGAATAAGCGACTTCAGCCTCGGAAAACAGCTGGATGCTGAGACATTTTACAAGAAACTGTTCTACTTTTAAGGAAACGTTTTGTGGTGGAGAGGGGAGGAAAGCGGTTATAACTAGTTAAAGCTTAAAGCAGAGCTAAGTAAGTCAGCGTTTTCGTACTGAGACATACTGGACATTAAATGTTGTGGCTCCGGGTGCCGCACTTACCCACTTCCAAGTTCCGCCTTTTGCGTTGCGTCAACATTACGTTATAAATCAAATATCTAGAAAATCGATTTTTGACATTCGATTCAGAATCGTTCACGTCTGCATCGCGATCATCTAAGAATCGAGTTTTTCCCACAACCCTAATGGAAAGTCAATCAATAGTTGGTTAAAATCACATTTATTAAATTAATCCATTACTCTAAATGTAGTTGACCAGCCAAGACATGTTTGGCGTCCAGTTTTGCACTCACTCTTAAAAGATGGTTCTTTAAGGGTTCTTTAGTAAAGAAAATGGTCCTATATAGAGCCATGAACACTTAAAGAACCCTTTACATGCATATATGGTTCTTTGCATCATGAAATGGTTCTTCAGACTGATGGAGAATGTGCTGTAGAGGGTTCTATATAGGACCTTTTTGAAAAGGGTTCTTCTATTGTAACAAGCTTCACATCGTAACAATAGAAGAACCCTTTGTGGTTCTCCTTGTATATAGAACCATGAACACTTAAATAACCCTTTGTATGCATAAATGGTTCTTTGCACCATGAAAGTGTTCTTCAGACCGATGGAGAATGTGCTGTAGATGGTTCTATATAGGACCAGGGTTCTATATAGTACCCAAAAGAGTTCTTCTATTGTAACAAGCTTGGCATCGTAACAATATATAGAAGAATATATTTTTTGTGGTTCTTCTTCTATATAGAACCATGAACACTCAAAAAAAAAAAACCCTTGCATGATTAAAGGGTTCTTTGCATCATGAAAGTGTTCTTCAGATTGTTGTAGATGGTTCTATATAGAACCTTTTTGAAAAGGGTTCTATACAGAACCAAAAAGTGTTCTTCTATTGCAACCCTTTTAGGTTCTTCTTCTATAAAGAACTATGAACACTCGAAAAACCTGTTGCATAATTAAAGGGTTCTTTGCATCTTAAAAGGGTTCTTCAGATTGATGGAGAATATAGCACCAAAAAGGGTTCGTTTATTGTAACATGCTTGACATTTTTGGTGCTATATGGAACTCAAAAAGGTTCTATGTAGTCCTATATAAAACACATTCTCCAACAATCTGAAGAACACTATCATGATGCAAAGTGTTCATGGTTCTATATGAAACCATTCTTTACTAAAGAACCCTTGAAGAACCTTGTTTTTAACAGTGCAGCTAACAAGTGTGAATCTATTGACTTTGCACAAACTGCAAGACTTTGGAATATTACGCAATAGATCACATTTTTAGTTGTATAAGCTGTGTAAAGGTTTTTTTCAATATTCATGAAATAGTACTGAAAATTTTCCTTTCCAGTCTGCACTGACAGGCATTTTGAAGTGTTTAAATTTTTTTGTAAAAAATCCTTTGAATGAAAATGTAACTATGATGCAAAGCTTTACCCTTGGGAAGCATCAATAGCTAATTGACCACTAATGGTGCCCTCTTGTGGATAATTTTTATCCTACTAAATGCGAGTAAGTGACTTCATGAGATCAACACATATAAAAATGGACAAAAGTACAAGCTAAACACAGTAATAGCAGCCACTGTCAAGCCTGAATTTTGTCTCTACATAGATAGCAGTTTTTATAGACTATAGTTTGTGTGTATGTGTGTGTGTGTGTGTGTGTGTGTGTGTGTATCTGTGTGTGTGTTATAGCGTGTTAGAAACCACATAAGCAAATCTACTTCAGATTACTTTACATTATACAAATGGCTAATATTCCAGCATGAGGAGCATCTGAAGCTATGCTAAACTGTTGGCAAGTGAGTGTTAGAAAGTGATGTTGGGTAAATGTGGTTGGTATAGTGTGGTGGGTAAAACCTCTGCCTTCTATGCTGTAGACTGGGGTTCAATCCCCTGCCTGGGCTGCACCCTATACTATACCAATAAGAGTCCTTGGGCAAGACTCCTAACACTACTTTCACCTACCTGTGTTAAATGAAATCAAACTGTAAGTTGCTCTGGATAAGAGTGTCTGCTAAATGCCGTAAATGTAAAGAACATCACTAGGCCTTCGCAACAGGGAGGACATTTTATTTCACATGGTTCTAGATTTGTAGGTTCTGGAATTGAGATTCTACCGGCTAACACTGCAAAGAAACACTAGTCAATAGTCACTCATATCTTTTCTTTACATACATTCTCTCAATCCACTCAACCTGCAGCCAGGACTTCATTAACGTCATACAGACTCCTTGATGTGGTTTAGAACACAATGTAACTTATTTATAAAGTTCACAGAAAGTCACACTGTGTCCTCCACCACATCAACAAGTCTGAACCTTAATGAAGACCTGGATTCTGTTTGAGCGGGTTTAGAGACGTTTTGAGGGTTTATTTATGGAAAGGTTTTGGGTGACTATTGACATCAGCTATGTTAGCCTTGTAGCTCCAGAGCTAAACTGTAGCAGCAAAATTTAGACACCAAACATGTCTTCGTTGATCAACTTGGTAGCTCCTTTGATGCCCTTGTTTTGTCATTGTGTACAAAGTTATCTGATATTATAATGGGATGTTTGGTACAGATTAGCCACCTTGACCTTCTTACATGACTCAAAAAGGAAAACACACCCCTCCACACTCCCTCTTTGTCTCCGCCCTCTCAGAAACACTCTCACATCACTCCGAAGACCTTGCACCCTTTCTCATCAGTATTAACTCGCACCCTCTTTCACGCATACTGAGCTCCACTCAGTGCAACTACCTGCCTTAACAATCTACAACTACAGCAACAGACCCTGAACAATGGGGGGAGGTAAGTCAGTGTCCAGTTACTGTGTTAATGTGTTTTAATCCATATTTGACAGACGAATCTGAAACCAAGTGAATTCTTTTGGTGTACATTTTGATTTTGTACACCTCATGAATTCAACTCAGTTCAGCAATGCTTTATGGGAATGTTACCCATCACACATGGCTGAGACGTCTGCCTAAAGTTGGCTTCTTTAGTTTTCCACTGGAGCTGCAAAGCGAATACAGTCGAAATCTATGGTAACAAGACTTACTTGTTAGCCTCTTCGCTCCAGCACAAAACTAAAGAAGCTTTAGATACCAACCACGTCTTTTCTGGTTGACTACATTTGCTGTAAAGGCAAAATTGTGTAAATTAGATTTTTTTTAGTGAGCCCTTCGTTTAACCAGTGACAAAGGTATAAAAGAAGAGGTTATTCTTTCATTCTCAGCCTGTTTCTTATCCTCATTTATTGCATTTTCTTGAAATCCTGCACTTGCTCAGCTGTGCTTAATGGGGAAATACCTTAGCAGCATTAGTTCCGTAGACCTGCACAGATGAAAACAGGGCTGTTGGGGTTCAGCTAATCACCAAAATGAGGCTGGTGCACCTTGTAAACAGCACTACAGAGTAACAGCGAGGGCAGCTGAGAACCAGGCAACCTGAAAAAGAGCTTTCCCAGCCAAATGATTCGTATCAGGCCAACAAGCTATCGGTTCTGCAACAGTAAATTTAAGTATATAAGTGATTTTTAATTGCTTTGCCCAAAGACCCTCGAGCTGCTGTGTTGGGCTGGAAATATTACTGCTAAAACGTCCCTGTTTACATGATTCCTCATGTTCTACGGGCATTCATGGGTGGAATATCAGTTGGAGCTCAAGGGCGGTGGATTCAAGAAAGCTTTCCTAAGAAGAAAAATCTTAAGAAGCTTTCAATATTCTGTTAAGGGGGCATTCCGGCCTGAAAAAGGAGTTTAATGTGTTGTTTTAAGCATTATTCTGTTGTGTAGAATGACATCCCTCAGTCTCAGTTTGACAGAGGTCTTCATGTCAGTTTCTTCATCACTGTTCTCTCATTACCCAGCATGCATTCCACAAATACAGCCACTGAGAATCTCTGTGGTGTCAACCAATTCTGACTGCTAGCCTAGTTGTTGATCTGCAAGGTGATAAATACAACCAAACCATCAGCCTGGCCCCCAAAATACACCCCAAAATCCCTCCTACCTTCAAGATACATCATCAGAAAGGGGCTTTTCTAGTCTTTTCTAAACCTTCTAACAGCCCCATAGAGAAAGCCTCACTCCTGGGGCACTGCTGTAGGATGTGAGTCGTCAGGTTTAGAGAGGTAGCGGTGGTTGAAGTTATGGTCTTAGTAATTTTATTAAGTGATCATTACCTTCCACAGCCATCTGGAGGTGCAGGATACATTCTGAATTGTGTTGGAAACCGTTGATCTGCGGAGATGGAAGGAGAAAAATCAGTGAAATGTTAAAAACCTTAGTAAACTGGAACAGACGTGATGGTAGAGTAGTGATGCATGCAGTGAAGTGTGTACTGAGCTAACATTAACGTCAGGCAGGCCTTTGATCTCAGTGTCAACACTACACCAAACACATGACAATTTTGGGGATGTAAGGATTTTAGAGCTTCATAGACGACCACATTCTGGGGCAGTCGTGGGCTGGAGGTTAGGGAACTAGCCTTGTGACCGGAAGGTCACCAGTTTAATCCCCTAAACTGACAGTACGTGACTGAAGGGCCCTTGAGCAAGGCACCTAACCCCCAACTGCTCCCTGGGCGCCGTGGATGGGGCTGCCCACCGCTCCGGGCAAGTGTGCTCACTGCCCCCTAGTGTGTGTGTTCACTAGTGTGTATGTGTTGTTTCATCAATGGGTAAAATGCAGAGGTGAAATTTCCCTGTTGTGGGAATAATAAGCGTCACTTAATTAACTACTATCTGAACTGCCTTTAGGCCAAATATACTGATGCTCTACCACTGAAAAAGACTGATACTTATCTTTAAGGTATTTTTATGTTAAGTGAATATTGAAGATAATAATATTTGAAGACAACAATTATATAGTTCCTTTTTTGCAGTTAAACAAACTGTAATTCCCTGTTTTTGTCTGTTTCTAGAGACGGTTGATTACTCTGATAAAGACTTCACTTATGGTAAGTCTTCTATAACTTTCCAAAGCAGTTCTCACAGCAATAGGCCTGCATTTCATTAATGCTCTATTAAAGTGGAAGCAGAGATGGCTGGCGAGGCTGACCAATACAAATGGCTGTGGAAATGTTTGTGCTGCCATCTAGTGGTGATCTGTGTGGACATGAGCTGTGTGTTTATTCCTCTGAGCTGGTGTGATGTGAGGTCTGGTGATGGTCAGTCGTGCTTATCTGTGTTTGTGTGTGTGAGACTATGAGGTGATCAGAAGAGGAGGGCTGATCTTCGCCGCTGTCCTCTTCTGTTTGGGCATCGCCATTATTTTCAGTAAGTTACCACACTGACATTTGTGTGTTGTTTGTTGTTAGTCACTGTATTGTTGTTGTGAGTTTACCATTAATGACATGATGATACATAAATGTGTATAATGTACAGTGCATTTTTTTAAACTTCAGGTTATATAATTTGTAAATATGCTGTACTTTGGTTAACTTTTGAATTGCATATATTTAAATTAGAAAAAATAACTTACAATTTTTCTTGATAGATCTATCTACCTATCTGTCTGTCTGTCTATCAGTCTATCTATCTATCTGTCTGTCGATCAGTCTGTCTATCTATCTATCTGTCTATCTATCTATCTATCTATCTATCTATCTGTCTGTCTGTCTGTCAGTATCTATCTATCTATCTATCTATCTATCTATCTATCTGTCTGTCTGTCTGTCTGTCTGTCTGTCTGTCAGTCTATCTATCTATCTGTCTATCTGTCTATCTATTGGTCGGTCGGTCGATCGGTCTGTCTGTCTGTCTGTCTGTCTATCTATCTATCTATCTATCTATCTATCTGTCTATCTGTCTATCATAGTTACGCTATAATACTGATTCAGATTTTTTCAGTACTGTACTGTATGAGTACTAATATAGCTTGTTTGCTTGTCTGAGTGTCCATATTAACGCATACATAAACACACAGAAAGGCATAAAGAGTTTCCCCCCATTTAAAAACGACTTTAAATAAATGAAGAAATGACAGTGTCATTTACTCGTTATTTTGAGATGTGTTGTTAAGAAACTGGATCTTTCTGTGAGCCACAGGTGTGCAATTGTGACAGTGTGTGAGGGGTTTGATGGACCCATAAGCCACAGGCCTCCCGCACCCTGGGCCTTTTCCCAGCCCCCAGTAGTTACATGACTGAAGACATGCATTTGGCTGTCTTAGATATCAAAATGTGTTTTTCTTTGACAGGCAAAAGACTGACCTGTGGGAGCAAACGAGCAGCAAAGTAAATCTCACACACACACACACACACACACACACACACACCCACACACACACACACACACACACACACGCACCCACACACACACACACACACCCACACACACACACACACACCACACATACACACTGGCTGAAATACACACAAAGTCTGATGGGCTCTCACAGCAGAAACGCTATTAGTGGGACAAATGACATATTCTGCATTTTGCAGATGTTGAATCGTTTGGATCTCTTGTCATCCAAGCCTTAAATTCCTTGCTTATTTGCTTCATCAAAACACCAATAATGTTAAATGACACCATTTACTAACATGATTTTAATACTTCAAGTGTTTTTTTTTAACCACATAATCCAGGAGAAAACATAAAAATGACACTGGATAACTGGACGGGTGGCAAACCTAGTCTCAACTGTAGACGTCTGATGAGGAGGGCTGGGTATCATTCGAGCATTTTTGCTAATGAAATCAATAAAGATACCTTGACCTTGACACCAACTCCTGAACAATACCAGAGACATTATAAAGGAGGAGGAGACGATTCACTGGCTGAAAGATGAATGGGAAAGCTTGTAGTGCTCAACATGGCACCCAAGTATAGCTGTGTGTGGGAAACACTTCTGTTCTGTTGAAGTATTAAAAACCTATTGAATTTTGATACCCAGCCCTACTGATGAGGATGTAATATGAACACAAACCAGCAGATACACATACACATAAGAAACATCCAGCATACTAACCTGCTCTGCTTTTCCATTCTGTTCAGGCCTGTGAACTTAGACGAGCTTTAAACTCTGCATGGTTGCAGTGAGGCACTCTTGTACAGCAGGTACATCCTTCTAGTCAAAGCCTTCTACGGCGTTTTTGTATGTCTGTCTACTGATACGTATAAAGCTTCGAACTAAAGTGACGTCATTTATGAAAAGGTCAGACCCAAAATTATATTAGAATGGCCATTATTTATCAGTAATGTTTTTCTTAATCAGGTACATAAGATGAATAGAATTACACATCAAGTAACTCCACAAACATCCTAACTGAGCTGTAAACCAGCATCAGTGGGACAAACACAGCAGAAATTAGAATCTGTTATAAGTATCTTACATGAGCTCTAGATGGGGAAAAATATAAAATTAAGTAATTTGAAAATGAGGTAAAGTAGTGAGGCCCTTAACTCCTTAAAGTCCCAGGCTTATTACATACTGAGGCTTATTATTCAGTAATTACAGGAACTTCAAACTGGCCGAGCTATTCTTAGATCACAGAAGTGTGTAACAATAATAAAACCTTTGGGCCTGCCGATGGGCCCTGGTCATTTAAGGGGTCAAATCTAAATGAATATGATGTAAATGCAATGCCAATGATGTAGATTGGAGTAGATGAATAACTGGAAAATAAGCCTGCAGTTTAAAGTGTTTAAAAAATGTCAATGTGAATCCTCAAAACTTAAATGGGAAATTCCACAGATGTTTCAAATTGCTGCATAATTCAGGGCTTGAGATGTAAACATTGAGTCACTCAGAGTGGTTAGATGTGAAACGGTTCATTGTAGAGACTCAGATTTCTTTACACTGGTGGTGATAGGAACCAGGGGTCGCCATGACTACAACACAAAAGTAGCCAATTTCTTTACTATCCAAAACCACCAGTGAACCTACGCGTGTCTTCGGAGATTTTATATGTAATGTTGATAACAGAGAAATAGTGGTGAATCTGAAAAAAGGGACTTTTTGCCTGCATGTAGCTCCAGTATGAATAGCTTTTTTAAGGCCAAAACCTTCTCAAAACTGTCATGAAACAACATCTCAGGTATCAGACAATGTATTCATAACCACTTAATGTAATAACTTGCTGTGAGGGAGCTTTTAGAGGCATCTTAGAGCTTCAGAAATCTGGTTCCTATCACCACCACTGTGAACAATTCTCTACAATGGACCTATAAATTATACAGGAAGTATAAAAAAACCCTGGAATTCCCCTTTGATGCCAGGGCTGTGGTGCTGCAATCATTTTAGAATTTATATACAGGATTAACAGCTTTAACTGATTTCTGATGTCTTTTCTTGTCTCAGTGAGGTGACTTACAATGGTGCTATGGATTTAGGCAGATACTAAACTGTACGGGCTAAATTTCCTTACAAGCTAAATGCACTAATTTACTAATTAATCTTATTTTTTCTCCACAGGTATCCCAACATGTAGCAGTCGATCCTACCACCTTTGAAGACTAATCACACCTAAAAACATAAGATTCAATTTTAAAAAGCACCTTCTTTTGAGTTTATGTAAGCTATGAATGTTTGGCAGCTTGTGTGTCAATAAAGAATGATCAGAAGAGCACAGTTCTTATTTTTTAGTTACTTCTTTAAGTTTCATAATCTCTCACAAAGGCATTCAGCTTTGATTCATGGTCTGCTGCACCATTACAAAGATTATGCCTCAATACATGTATATATCCATCAAAAATCATATATATATATATATATATATATATATATATATATATAGATAGATAGATAGATCGATACACACTACAGCTTTGATTCCTTTGACCTCCAGAGTTCAGTCTTAGAAGTTGGTTTCATTTTCTGCTTTCCACAACATCATAGTCCCAAATTTCACATAATGTAATATAATGATGTAGAGATCTGGTGGTCTCCGACTTTTGCACTGTTCTCTATGGCCTTTATCAGGATCAAAACCATACTGAGCAGGTCACATTCAAAGAGCTTGATTGGTGCTGAACCCCTTAAATGGCCAGGACCTGCCGGTTGGCCGAACATTTTATTACACACTTCTATAACCTAAAAATAGCTCAACAAATTTGCACTGAAGTCCCTGTAGTTACTGAATAATAAGCCTTAGTATGTAATAAGCCTGTGATTTTAAGGTAAGTACTCTCAATTTGGATTGCTTACAGCGGTGGTCATAGCAACCAGGCGTTATGTATCTATCACAAACCTACATTTATCTTTTTGAAATAGATCAGACTGATGTAGTACAATGTTAAAGTTAAACACACCTTTTACTCCCTAATCCATACAATACTTACATGGAAATGAATCTGCAGAAACAGGCAGTTTTTTAATTCACTGATTGTGTAAAGAATGGTTTTAAGCCAGGCTTTGGACATGCTACCATGTCACAACACAAGCGTACTATACAGCGAGCTAAATGTTAGCAATTCTTATGCAGATGCAGTGTAAGTATGCTCATAATATAGGTAATTACACATTAACTACACACAGACCAGAAAATTCTTGTTGGAAAACAGCAGTTCAAATGTAGTTACTCTCACTGCATTACACACATGTAACTACATAAGGGACATACTGTAGCAGCTATTAAGATGCACTGGTGTAATTACATGGGTATAAACTAAAGTGGACATGTGTACTTACATAAGCTGCACTACTGCTATCACTGCAACAGTGATCACTGGTACATAGTTGTTAATAACCAAACAGTTATTACACTGACAAAAATGTGCACATTGGATCCACACAAATGAAATACGTTACATCAACTCAGATTATGTAATTTAAGTACTTCCACACAGTCGTTATGTTGATGTTACATATGTCACCATGTTGAGCCAATGTACACATTTTAATCATGTAAATTTAAAACAACTTTTAAGCAACTTTTTCAGTGCAGAGACACTTAATGTATAGCGAAACGTTTATTATTATTTTATTCATATTATTTGAAAAATTAGACCACACATCCTTTCGGTTACTTAACGTTAAAGGGAAGCGCCACTGATTTTTAAAATTTCTGCACTGCTGAGATGTAAAAATTGTGATTCTGAGTGGTTTGGTGTGAAACGGTTAATTGTAGGGAAGCTTACTGACTCAGGTTTCTTTACAGTGGCGGTGATAGGAACCAGAGGTCACCATGTCTACAACACAAACAGAGCCATTTTATTTACTATCCAAAACCACCAGTGAACCTGAGTCTTCTGAGTTCTTATATGTAATGGTGATGATGGTAAATGGTGACAAATCTGGAAAAAAAAAGTTTTCTTTGGGGAATATTTTGCCTCACAACCCCTTACCCTCCACCATGAATAGCTTTTAGAAAATGCATTACAGGCCAAAAGCTTATCTGAAAACTATTACAACACATGTCTCAGGCATAATTCATAATCATTTCATCTAATAAATTTCTCTAATGTAGGCCCAGCTTTGGGCCAATTAACTCCTCAGTCGTCTGGTTCCTATCACCACCACTGTAAACCTGTCTGACTTGGTAAGTTTCTCTAGAACGGAGAATCTCACACCAAACCACTCTGAATGACTTTGTTTACACCTCGGCCATTAAATTATACTGAAATTTTGAAAAAGTCGGTGGAATTCCCCTTCGGAAGCGCCCCACAAAGGCAGCAATACAAGCCTGCGTGTGTGTGCCGTTGTAGTGCTGTGCATGCGCCACTGGGCGAGTCTCGGCTCGGCTGTCTCCGTAACTCTCCTTTTTCTCCACGAAAAAAAGGGAGAGAGGGGAGAGTTGGGGCGGAGGGGCCGCCATTATCGGGAAGCTGGAAAAAGCCCACCGCTCACCCACATGCAGCCCTGCAACACGGCCAGGCGTCCCGGAGCGCTCCTGCATCTCATGGTCCGGACTCGGCTATGAAGCGGCATCACTGCGGCTCGGCGGAAAGTCAGCGGCGCACACGGCTGTCTGAAATCAGCTCGTTATTACGGCCACAACAAAGGACAGCATAACTGGTCCAGAGCAACGTGGTAAGGCCGGAGGAGGAAGCTGAGATGCGTTTTCCCCTCTACATGGAAACGAGCAGCAGATGACCAACGACGGACATTCCCGATTTGCTGGCCGTCGCTGCGGGGTTGATGGATTTTTGTCAGCTAACGTTAACGTTGTTGCTATGAAGCTACGTTAACGTGACTGGATAGAAGAGAGCAGCAGGTTAACCTGAGGCAGCGTATCTGTTGAAAAGCGTCGCTCAGATCCACCAAGGCCACCAGAACAGTGTCGCTGAAGGTCCCTTAGCAGCTGAAATAAACGACTTCGGCGAGTTTAGTTGTCATTTTCATCGCCTTCTGCACCGAACCCGGCTCTCTCCGTTGGCCTGGGCTGGGAGGAGGGATTGGAAAGGGAAAGGGAAGGAAAGAAGGACGGACGGACGCAGCAATGGTAACGCCACGTTATTTATCCTGTTTATTTTCTTAATACGAATAACTAACAGGCTAAATAGTCGTCTTAGCTGGCTGATAACAACCCTCGTGTCAAATAAAACAGTCTAGACAATAACGCCGAGCCAGCTACGAAGCTGGAGTTAGCTTCTTATTGGAATTCTCCGGTCCACCTTAAATGGCGCAGGAGTTCCATTCTGTTGCCTGAGGCCGCCTCGAGCGCCAGGATGGAACTGCTGCGGCATTTAAGGTGGACCTGAGAATTCCGATAAGAAGCTAAGCGAAGCTCCGCCTGGCAGCTAAAGAAAGGCGTGTGTGGTTAAATTGCGGTCGTGTTAGCTAAGCTAGCGACAAACACTGGGAGTGAATGCTGGCCAGAGAGCCGGCTTGCCGGAGGAAGGGTTTGTCACTGGTTTATTTCTGACACTTTATCATTCATGATGTGTTTGTTGAAGGTATATTAAACATAATTTAACGCAGTCTGATGCATTTCGGCCGAATTGTGAGGGTAAGACCGTCTGGTAGGCGGCTAACGTTATTGTTCGCATCACATGCGTTAGTTAGCCTACGACACACGGCAGCGGAGCCGGACCCGTGTCTGTCTGAGAGCCCCGTCATTGCTGTAATCCGCACACTGCACTTCAGTTCGCGCTCTCTCTCAGATTCAGCGCGCATAAACAGGACTTTTGTGTGCTTTTGTTTTTGTAAGCAACCCAAAATGACCTCCTTTGGCGACATTCGTTTATTTCAGCGGCGTTTTCTTTATTTAACCTGCGCCGTTCGGTTGGGCGCTGTGCTAAAGGGGAATTCCACCAACTTTTCAAAATTTCAGTAGTCAGTAGTTGAGGTGTAAACAGTCATTAAGAATGGTTTGATGTGAAATGCTTCATTTGCAGAGAAACTTAGGCCCAATCCCATTTCACCCTTGCCCCTACCACTTAGCCCTCAGCTGTCACTGCAGACCGGCAGGGTCGCCTACAGAGCAGTGCTAACAGCCTGTTAATGAAGTCATGTTTTGTTTTTTTTGTTTTTATTTTTATTCGAGGGTTGTCCCGTTTAGAAAGGGGGAGATTTTAACCACTACCCGTTGGGACTCAGTTCTGAGAGGCAAGGTGACACTCGAAAACAAGGGGTAGGGGTAAAACAGAATTGGGACTGTGTCTTAGAGTCAGAATTGTTCATAGTGGTGGTGATGGGAACCAGACGTCTGAGGAGTTTAATGCATCTAAAAGCTCCCTTACAGAAAGTTATTAAGTTACATGAAATGGATAAGAACACTCAGACCGATGTCAGAGACATTGTTTTATGATAGTTTTGTGATACAGTTTTGGTCTAAAATGCATTGTAATCAATTTATTTAATCTATTCATGATGGATGGATACATGAAGGGTGTTCTAACGAAAAATAGTCCCCAAATAAAACTTTTTTTTTTTTCAGTTTTACCAGTTTGTCATCATCCACGTTACATAGAAAACTCAGAAGACTCATGAAAGTTCAGTGGAGGTTTTGGACAGTAAATAATAAAAAAAAATGCAGGTGTCACAAGCTGCTGCCACTGTTGACCCCAATTTTTTTTCTAGACTCAGATCAGGAGAAGTTCTAGATTAAAAGTTCCATATCATGGACATTTTTAAAATAAGAGTTTGAAGTAGACTCGCTAAGCATTGTTAAAGATTCTGACCATATTATTCACTTTCCAGTCCATACAGTCCATATAAAGATGCTAAGCTGCTTATAGTGAATTCAGTGTTTTTTGCGATAAGAAAAACCAACTTATTCACACATATCCACATTTTCAGCCTACAGCGGTTTAGCCCTGCCCATAAACAGTGAAGTTATAAGGAGTGTTTCAGCTGCTTTTTGAAGAGAATATAGGACAACCAGTAAAACTGAGCAACTTGTTTGATTATAAGAAATGAACAGAACTTGAAACAGTCATGTTAAAATGAAAAAGTCACTCTTCGAAAGAAAGAACACAAAAAAATAAAATGCGAGAAACATGTTGGCCCTTCAGGCTGTGGAGTGAATGCTAGATACATCAGACTGTTATCGTGTTATCTAAGTATAGGCAGTTTAATGCAGCCCATTTGGGTAAAAACAGGCTTTTTGATGGCACCCAGCTATGAGATGTGACGTTGGTTATTTGCTGACCAAGCACAGACTGGAACACATGTTACTGATCTTTACACGTGTCAATACAGTTATTACAGCGTTTAAGACGAATTCTATCCAGTGCATTATTTGAGGAGGCATCTCTAGAAGAGATACGGATAGTATCAGTACAACTAGTTAAGTGGGAGGTAATGTTTTTAATATTGACTTCACAGCGATCACTGTGCACAGATGAACAGAAACAGTACATTTTAGTAGCCAATTTAATTTAATTAACGCATAATGTGGATGTCGGTGTCAATATAATTTAATATACATTTAATGGCATATGTGCATTTTCTACCCATCTATTAAGGCCGAGGTATAAGGGCTGCTGATCATCACCTGTCCGAAAACTGTTACCCTCCCCAACAGAATACTACAGCATACTTATGGATTCCATATATGCGAGTTTCATTCAGATTCAGTTCAGAGAGGCTTTCGCTGTTTTTTCAAACATTTTATCATCGTAACAGTAGGATTCACACAATCATGTGATGCCCAGGGAATGTTAGCTAATGTTGTGCATTATGTACTAAAACTTGAATGTTAGATAAAGGAAACATATTAAATTGGCAAACAGTGTAAAATGGATAATGTCGATTTCTTTGGCTGTAGTTTTGACTATTTAACGACATTCAGGTGAAGAAGCTGAGTGTCCTAAGTCATTTGTTCGGCTCTGGGACTGAATCAAACAGAGATAACGGGCTAACTTATTGGTTTTGCTGATTACTATAAGGTACAAATGACTTGCAACACAAATTTAGTATGAAACACTGAAATATCTTACCATGTTCTAAATCTGAATTTATGCTTGTCTATCAAAATTACTTCATTTGCAATGTAATTGAACTTATAGCACTAAGTTAGCATTTCAGTATGATCTTGGCTATCCTTCAGTAAACCAAGTAAACAGATTATGAAAACACAAAACACAATATTTTAAGATTTTAAAAGATGCAGGCCTAAATCTTCAACTTTATTCTGTATCATTGCTGCTAGTAATAAATTCATTCAGGCTTATCTGATTAGTTATGGGACATCATGTTAAGTCATGTACTTTATTGATTTCAGCAAAATTTGCCATTTTGCTGGCTAACTATATGCAGCAGAGTGGACTGGCCTGGGGCAATGGGGCATTAGGCGCCTTGCCCAAGGGCAAAACCAGGGCTACGCAGTCAGTCCTGGGATTTCAACCCAGAGCCCTCTGATTGCTGATGCGCCTCACCTGTCACTAGGTTACCAGCCATGGTTTCATGTACAACCCTGTTTCCAGAAAAGTTGGGACGCTGTGCAGAATGTAAATAAAAATAGGATGCAATGATGTGCAAATCATGTAAACCATATTTTAAAGTGAAAATACTACAAAGGAAACATATCAGATGTTGAAATTGAGAAATTTTATTGTTTTATGAAAAATATCTGCCCATTTTGAATTTGATGCTAACAACATGTTCCAGAAAAGTTGGGAGGGGGGCCTGTTTACCACTGTGTTTCATCACCTCTTCTTTTAACAACACTCTGTAAGCGTTTGGGACCTGAGGAGACATTTCTGTAGTTTTGAAAGTGAAATGTTTTCCATTCTTGTTTGGTACAGGATTTCAGTTCAGGGTCTTCTTTGTTGTATTTTTCATTTCATAATGCGTGAAATGTTATCAGTGGGTGACAGGTCTGGACTGCAGGCAGGTCAGTTTAGCGCCTGGACTCGTTTAATACAGAGCAGTGCTATTGTAATACATGCAGAATGTGGTTTGGCATTGTCTGGCTAAAATAAGCAAGGCCTTCATGTATATATAATTCACCATTAATGATGCCTTCACAGATGTACACATCACCCATGCCATGTGCACTAATGCACCCCTATACCATCATGAATACTGGCTTTTGCACTGTGCACTGATAACAAGCTGAGTGGTCTTTAGCCCGGAGGACACAGTGTCCATGATTTCCAAAAAGAATTTCAAATGTTGATTTGTCGGACCACAGGACACTTTACCACTTCCCCTCAGTCCATTTTAAATGAGCTCGGGCCCAGAGAAGGCGGCAACATTTCTGGATCCTGTTTATATATGGTTTCTGCTTTGTGTTTTAGAGTTTTAACTTGCATTTGTGGATGCAGTGATGAACTGTTTTCGCAGACAGTGGTTTTCAGAAGTGTTCCTGAGTCCATGCAGTGATTTCCACTACAGAAACATGTCTGTTTTTAATGCAGTGCCGTCTGAGGGCCCAAAGATCACGGCCAGCAAATACTGGTCTTTGGCCTCGTCCCTTAAATACAGAGATTTCTCCAGATTCTCTGAATCTTTTAATGATATTATGTACTGTAGATGATGAAAAGCAAAAGTTCTTTGCTATTTTATGTTGAGAAACGTTATTCTTGAACTGTTTCTCTATATGATCAGGCAGTCATCAGTAAGGTACATCTCCGGGACCAGCGTTAGTGACCACTGCTAAGAAGGCATGCATAGAAATTTTGATTAAAACAAAGAAACATACTAAAATAAACATCATTGTTTTTAAGGAAAGTACTGAACGAGTGTTGTAGTTTGTGTTTGGAAACAACAACGAGTCTTGGAAGCCTTTAAAAAGCTGTTTGAGAAAGCCTTAGTAATCATGCATCATAAACAGCTGCGTTGTTTGGTTATCGATGATCTATATGTTCAGCTACGTTTAGACACCTTTGTATTATCACTGCCCCAACATGCCTGAGTTCTGAGCTTGTGTTCTGATCTCTAATTGATATTTTCTAATGTGCTGGGACAGCATCCACTTTGGGCTCAATAGGGAGGAAAATGTCAACCCAAACCAAAATACAAACCAAATGCAAACTGTGTATCATCACTTTTGGGGGAAAAAAAACAAAAAACTTTGTCATGTAATTTGAAAAGAAATGGTCATTGCATCTTCAAGCTCTTTGCTCTTTTCACCTCATATCTGTGGTTCCACCAGTGTGGTTACATGACAGAAGGATGTTGGATTGGCCTCACTGTGGTGCTTCTGTCAGAATGCAGTAGATCAGTAGGCACTAGCGCTGCTCCTGAAGCTCTGCTTTCCTGCAGAACTCCAACCTTTCGTTTATTGCGCCTGATCTAGCTCTTCAGGGCAAAGGTTGAAACTGAACTCTGCAGGAAGCTTTGTTTGGGACCACTACAGTAGATCAACAGTGGAATTTTAGTTCTGTTTTATTTACATGCACAACACCAACACCTTGGGGGTCAGACATAACCTTAACATAAAGGTAGAAACAGACTGAAGGAGGCTTAAGGCCTCAGCAGACTTATTGCGGAGACGACGTTCGCCTGGCTTCAGTGAACAATGTGATGTAATCGCGGGGAAAACGAACAACCGTAGACGTCGCACGGAGGCCTTGTTCGCCGTGTCGCGCACATAGCAGCTGGGTGAACTCCGTGGACGAAGACGCTACGCGACTAAGCCTCTGATTGGTCGGTAAAAAAGAGGCATGGCATTAAACAAAGCTTCCGCTTTGGCAGACACACTAATATTTCACTGTGAAACGCGCATTTGTTAAATCAACAATGAATACTTCCTAAATGTAAGATATTAAGTCTATTATTTGGTAGTACTAACTAGTACTAAGCACCGAAACATACAGGTCATCTTATATTTAGGTTCACAAGAGGACGAGGCTGAAGTTGGCTTTCTATTCACCAGCTTCTTGTTCGAATTTTCCCGTTCCACCTTAAATGGTGGCGGTATTCTGAACTCAAACGTCGCCATAGTTAGGACAGTGAAAGAATCGTTTTCCAGCAGTCATGAATCTTATCATAAAATGTCATAGCGACGTGGCGCATCCACGACAAGCAACACGAAACCGCAGAAAGTATGCAAGGTTGTGAGCTCGCGAAAGCGCTTTCGGCTTCGCACAACCCTCGAGAATTTGTTTCGCAAGAAGTACGCTGAGGCCTTTACTCTGTAATATGCTGTGGTTCCTGCTGAAACACTGTAAGAAAGAATGCAGTAATATTTCTGTTAGTCTCATAAATTGGAAAATAGCATCTTATTAACAAAAATAATTATGCAGGTCGTTTAACTAACTGGCATTCAGCCAGTCCTTGTATGCGTATGTTGAGTTGAACATCCCGTAACTGCTGATACAATTTAAGAGTTTCCAGAGGTTGGAAAAACATTCATAGTACACTTAGTCATGGTAGGATTTGGGCACTAGGATTTGGTCTCAACACACGTTCACTGTGTTTCTGTAGAAACTCCTTCTTATACATTCTCAGAAATAAAGGTATGAAACTGACACTGGGAACATAACTGTACCATAATGTACTGAAATGATATTTTCTAAGTTGCATTGACTCCACACACCCCGTCTCGTCTCCAGGCTTTTTATTTTATTGTTCTGTTTTAAAACGTTCGGTTATGAAAAGGTACAAATACGAACTTTTCACCTGAGAAAAACTTATTTAAGGTTTACAATCAGTCCTTAACACCACTGATGTATCCTTGAGGGAACCTTTACATTGTTTATACCTTGATGAACGAAAAATGTACCTGCACAGAACCTTCATTTCTAACAGTGTAGTGTCAATATCACTTCTTTTAAACTGTCAAATTTAGCTTTTAAACAGTTTAATTATACATTTGAAGTCTTGATTTCTGGTTTTTGCCCTGAGCAAGTTTTCTCTGTTGACTCGCCTCAAAAATCTGATGAGGGCCATTTGTGGGAAGTTGTCTGTAACGGATAGTGAAGCGTCAGTTTAGCCAGTATGATTCGTTAGACTGTTGGTTCCTTTTTGTTGCTGTTTTATGAAGTGTGTGGTGTTGTTTTGGGAATAAGCCTGTTGAAAGTAGCTTCTTGGGCTGATAAAGGGAACATCAGGTCTATGCCATTTCCTATTAATTGTTTAATTGTGATGCTTGTGGCTGTGGATAACTCATTTCTATTATACTTTAATATATATTTTTTGTGTTGTTGAGGTAGCACTAACATGGGAACAGAGGGGCTAGCCAACTTCTGGTGTAGCCAGCATGATTTTGTCAAATCTTGCAAGCATTTTTCAAGGTTTTTTTTTTTTTTTACTGTATGCAAATTAACAGACCTCCAACAATAGTCATATTAAATGCTTGTAACTGGTGCTTGTATAAACACTCTAAGTGAGCAAGGAAGCTCTGAGTGTTTGTGAATGTATTACATGCTATTGATTGGAGTGATACTGGATCTGCACATCCATCAGTGTTGTCATTCATTACTGTAACACTAAGTGTCCGATATGATTGCTGCCCTGTGCAAACATTCCTGTCCTCACAGATGCTTCATGTTTCAATATCAAGTAAAGATTCATTGTTTTATGTTTAATACTAAAGTTGTTTTGTATTTTTTGATTGAGTAGTGGATTAAAAGTGTTTATAGGGCACAGATTATATGCCATATTATTAGTTGGCGTTATAGCAAAAATATCACGATACTTCGACATTTTCATAACATGTAATGCATCATGATATTATTTTTGAAACAGAAAAATAACCTGTAGTGCCAAATCTAAAAAATACTGTCAAAACTATTATTACAATTAATTTTATTTTGTTTCACATACTCTTCTGTACGCAGTAAAATCAGGTAAACAGGACTAATTATGCTCGCTTCGTAATGAAGTATGCCGTTATAAGTGTACTTTAAGCATTGACAATGCCCAGGGTATGCTCAGAAAAGCCTATTTTGACATAATGTAACAAATAACCATAAACAACCAATAATTTCATATTGTTTTCCTCTGTTATATAAAAGTGTGTATTATTAAAGGAAACTGAAGATTGTTTTTCACTACAAGTGTGTAATTATGTCCGTCTGCTTTCTTGTCTTTTCAGGATCGCTAAAAGGCATCCAGTCCACACATTTGATACTTACAATCAAGCCTTGTCATCACCATTGCAGACTTGTATCCCAGTTCCTCAGTAATATGGGCAAAAAACATGCAACCTTGGTTATTTTGATGAAAAGGAATGTTTGAACTATCAAATAAAACTGAGACAAATGTGATCGAGCAAAAGGGATCTACGTATTTCGCTTTATGGACACGTGTCAGAGAGTCAGCCTGTGTCAACCTTTGTGGCATGGCAAGATGAGTGCCTGCATACGATGATGGCCAAAAAGCAAGATTCGCGAGCGCCCACCTACAACCTGGTTGTTGTTGGTCTGTCGGGCACTGAGAAAGAAAAAGGCCAATGTGGAGTTGGGAAATCTTGCCTTTGTAATCGCTTCGTCCGCCCTAGCGCAGATGACTTTCATCTTGATCACACGTCAGTGTTAAGCACCAGCGATTTTGGTGGTCGAGTTGTCAACAATGACCATTTCTTGTTCTGGGGAGAGGTGGAACGAGCTTTGGAAGATGGCACCGAGTGCAGGATGCATGTTGTCGAGCAGACCGAGTTTATTGATGACCAGACATTTCAGCCACATCGTAGCACAGCGTTACAGCCTTACATCAAAAGAGCTGCATCCACAAAACTGGCATCTGCAGAAAAACTCATGTATTTCTGCACTGACCAGTTGGGGCTGGAACAGGACTTTGAGCAAAAACAAATGCCCGAAGGGAAGCTGCAGGTTGATGGCTTTCTTCTGTGTGTTGATGTAAGTCGAGGGATGAACCGCAACTTTGATGACCAAATGAAGTTCGTCACCAACCTGTATAATCACCTAGGCAAGACAAAAAAGCCTGTTGTGCTGGTTCTGACCAAGTGTGATGAAGGTGTGGAGCGATACATTAAAGACTCTCACACATTTGCTATCACTAAGAAGAACTTGCAGGTTGTTGAGACATCGGCTCGGTCTAATGTCAATGTGGACTTAGCTTTCCTTACCCTGATTCAACTCATCGATAAGGGGAGGGGCAAGCCTAAGATAATACCTTATTTTGAGGCACTGAAGCATCAGAGTCAACTAATTGCCACTGCAAAGGATCGCTATGAATGGCTGGTGAACCACATAGTGAAGAATCACAACGAGACATGGCCCAACGTCAGCAGACGCATGCAGACAGCACCAGAATACAAAGAATACGTCTTTTTAGAAGGTACAGCTAAAGCAAAAAAGCTTTTCCAGCAGCATATTCATCGACTTAAACAGGAGCACATTGAGAGACGTCGTAAGGGCTACTTAAGTACTCTACCCTTGGCCTTGAGTTCCTTAGTATCTGAACTAGATGAAATTGAACATTTGAGCTGGTCTGGGGTACAGAAGGTGCTTGAGTCCAAAAAGGACTTTGACCATTGGTTTGTTGTGCTAGAGGACGCACCATGGGAGGACACACCGCATCTTGACAATATGGAAGATGAGCGCATTCCCTTTGATGTGCTGGACACGACTGCAGCAGAAATCATCTTTGATGCACACCTCGAACATCTGCGCAACGAGAGCAGGCGTGCCGAGATGCGACATGAGTTTAAGATGAAACTGGCATCTTCACCCTTTGTCACACCTGGGAAGCCATGGGAAGAGGCACGCAGCTTCATTATGAATGAAGACTTCTACCAGTGGCTGGAGGAACCCGAATACTTGGACATCTACAACAGGCATCAGAAGGTGATCATTGACAGGGCAAAGGAGGATTTCCAGGAACTTCTGCTAGAGTATTCTGAGCTTTTCTATGAACTTGAAGTGGATGCCAAGCCAAGTAAGGAAAAGATGGGAGCAATTCAGGAAGTACTTGGGGAAGAACAGCGTTTCAAGGCTTTGCAGAAACTGCAGGCAGAAAGAGATGCTTTGGTATTGAAGCACATCCATTTTGTTTATCATCCAACCAAGGATACCTGCCCTAGCTGCCCACACTGTGTCGACAACAAGATTGAGCAAACTTTGGCCTTATGCTTCCCTACACGTTACCCATCCTTTGGAAAGTCTCACTTGAATGACAGCAAAGCAGATAGGATCAACCTTGTCATCTTGGGAAAAGATGGTTTAGCAAGAGAGCTAGCTAATGAGATTCGAGCTTTGTGTACCAACGATGACCGCTATGTGCTTGAAGGTAAACTATATGAGCTAATACTTAGACCCATTGAGGGCAATGTGAGGCTTCCTGTCAACTCCTTCCATACAGCCACATTTACACCTCATGGGTGCCTGTGTTTGTACAATTCCAAGGAATCTTTGTCTTACGTTGTGGAAAGCATCGAGAAGTTGCGCGAGTCTACGCTTGGCAGGAGAGAAAACCACATAGCACAACTTCCCCTCTCTCTCTTGTTAGTCACTAAAAGAGGTGTGGGAGCATTGAGTGACATTGGTGGGGAGACTGCCCAAACCCTAATCTCTCAGGGTCAGCAGGTTGCTATAAAACTACAGTGTAACTTTTTGGAACCTGCGTCTCCTGGCTCGGGCTATGGGCGTAATGTGAATGAAAGACAGATAAACCAGGTCCTAAAGTGTCTTCTGGACTCAAGGAGGAATGCTGTATTCCGCAGCAGTTCCCCACCCCCACCACCTCTGCCTCCAAGTATCAGAGATTTGCAGCAGGACCAGAGTCCAGAGGCAGACTTGCGTATCGTCATGTGCCTAATGTGCGGAGACTCCTATGATGTAGATCAACTTCTTGCGCCCTTCTTGCTGCCTCAGCATTGCAGGCCAACCTCTCCCCATTCCAGTGGTACTTCAGTGCTTCTGGAGCAAACAGTCAGTGGTCATAGACAGACAATTGAGCTGTCCCTACTGTCATATCATGCCTCTTTTACCATGCGCAAGAGTCGGCTGGTACATGGGTATGTAGCCGTTTACTCTGCTCGTCGTAAGGCCTCATTTGAAACCTTGTGTGCCTTCCTCTGTGAGGTTTCGGACATCATTCCAGTCCAGCTGATAGCTGTGGGAGAAACCCAGGCAGAGCTCACAGACTCTGACTTTGCGCGAGAGCTGCTGACCCAGGGTGAGGATCTGGCCCATGAAATCGAGGGTCGTTTTGCCAGCGTGATCTGTGGACCAGGTGGAGTTGTTGGAGGACTACACAGAGTAGACCTTTTACAACCATTCTTCATGGAGGTCTTAGAGAAGAAGACCCTTGTAGAGGCCACTCATATGTACGATAATGTCGCAGAAGCCTGTAGCGTGAATGAGAATGTGTATTCACCCCAGTGTGGTTCCCCTAGCCCTGTCACAATGCTGTTAGATTCTGAGGAGGACATGGAAGCCTCCCCGCCTTACCACGATGGCACCCTCACCTCTCATAGTGGATTTAGATTGCCTGACCTCGATTCAGGTGACACATTCTCTGTCATCTCTGAACTTACCACCTTTGAGAACAAGCTGAACAACAAAGTCCCTCTACAGGTGAGGCCCAGACCCAGTGTCACTTTTGACCTCAGAAAGCACAACTTTAACCCCTACACAGACCCAGTCAGCCATCGGCGATCCCTTACCTCCAATGTGACCTGGCCTCCTGGTGGGGACGGAATCTATGATCCTTCAGACTATGCTGAGCCAATGGACGCAGTTTCCAAGCCTCGACCCAGCCACGAAGAGAGCATCTATTCAGTGCCACATGACAGCACACAGGGTAAGATAATCACGATCCGGAATTCCAACAGGATGCATTCTAATGGAGGAGGCAATGGCTCTGACAGCGAAGGGGATGGCAGCTCTTTGGAGCGTCGACGCAAGTTCTCTACGGCAGGTGTGAAGCCACGGCTGTATCGGGATCGTTCCAAACGTCTGGGCAAGTTCAGTAACTTCCGCACCAGTTTTTCCATCGGTAGTGACGATGAGCTTGGCGTCCTTCCAAAGACAAAGGAGGATGAAGTGACGGTGCTGAAGGGAGAATCACTTATTGAGGAAGGCGAAGATCCCAAGAAAAGAAACATTCTGAGGAGCCTTCGGCGACCAGGCAAAGTGAGTCCATCACACACTATTTCTCCAGTGTACCTCATCCATATCTTCTTGTCTTAAGCTTATGCTTTGGCATTCAAATGAACTAAAGCCCAATGTCTTTCTTTTTTTGTACAGAAAGCCAGACCAAAGCCTCGACACTCAATCTCTAAACCTCTGGAAAGTACTTATTTTGGGGTGCCTTTGGTTAGTGTTGTGTCTCCTGACAGACCCATACCACTGTTCATCGACAAATGTATCCGCTTCATTGAGGCCACAGGTAATATTACAGTTTCAAGTATTAGGCTTTTTTCTTTGAGGTGTCTTCCATGTAAGAGACAAACATACTCAAGCGAAGCATATAAGAGCAAATGAACGTCTTATTGTTCAGATCAGTTTCAGCCCTCACTTCCCTCAGTTTTGTATTGTCTTTGGTCAATTAAAATGAAGGATTTTATAGTTAGCTGAGGATTTTAATCAGCTGTTTCTGATGAGGCATAACATCAAACAGTGGGTACCGAAGACTGGGACTAAAGAGCCTGTATCAAATATGGGTCTTAATGTATTTTAACCTATCCTGTCAAAAGCCAGGACAAAAGACATTTCTGTGTTCTCAGTTTATCTTTCATTATCGATTTTTGTTTGCTCCCTTGACAGTGTGATGAGGCAGGAGGTTAAAACTTTGTATTTACAAATAGATCATATTTCCGGTAATGTGGAACTTCTTTTCAGTTTAAAGTAGATTGTGAACTTTCAGTGGGCTTCATTTACACTTGATGTATCTGGTTCTGGATTTAAAGGGCCAATATAATGGGAAACAGATTTTCCCTCCCTTTTTTATATAGTGTTATGTGTGAACATGTTAGTTTGTAAACATATCATTCATTCTGCAGCCCATTTATGAAAATTAAATTACACAAATGTCTTTTTTGATTCATTAAATCATGTTATGAAAATCAGCATGTTTACATATATGTTCTTATTCAACTAACAGCTGTTTAGCCCCGCCCTTTCACAAGTTATAAGTACTGTTTCAGTCTGACCTGCTTACTGAATGAGGCACACAGGACAGCCAGTCAGAACAAAGCTGATTTACATATATCAGTCTTAAAGACACAGTAACTAAAATAGCTTGTTTAATTGTAAGGCATAAAGAGTGGATGGAAAATGGTCATGTAAATGTGAATCTTACCTGTTTTTGCTACATAAAACCACAAAATTTTCATAATTGGACCTCAGAGGGAAGAAATATACCAGAAGTATGTAGGATACGGCTCCCGGGATATTTGCTCCTCTTTTCTACATCTTAACTGATGTTCTCATTTGAATGATTTGGTTTTTAGTGTGAATTATTTTGGTTAGGCAGCACAATAATTCACCTTTATTCATTGCGTTTATATTACTGTATGCTATAATCCAGTCCTAAATGGTGCAGTAACTTACTTCCTCTTTTTTCTCATGTCAGTGATGAACAGATTGCATACTGTCTGACAAGCGCACAAAAGTGCTGATCTGGCATATAGAACAGCACTTTTGTGCTGAACAGAGGTTGTCAAGAAAAATTGCCTTCAGCGGTTTAATAATGTTTAAGTGGATATTATGATGATGCACTGGCCTTCGTTTCTGTTCAGTGACAAAAACACTATTCTGAGGCAAAGACATTTGGACATATGCTTAATCTCTCTCACAGGTTTGACTACAGAGGGTATTTACAGAGTCAGTGGGAACAAGGCTGAGATGGAAAGCATGCAGAGACAGTTTGAGCAGGGTGAGTACAGACCCACATCATCCTTTCCAATCAATACATGGAGGGTCAAGTGTCATTGTGGTTGGGTTTACTCTCTCTCTCTCTCTCGCTCTCGCTCTCTTTCTCTCTCTGGCTGTGTTGCTTTCTCTCTTCCATAGATCATGGCCTGGACCTAGTAGAGAAGGACTTCACAATAAACACAGTCGCAGGAGCGCTAAAAAGCTTTTTCTCCGAGCTGCCTGAGCCACTGGTCCCATACAGTGCACAAGTAGAGCTGGTGGAGGCTTTCAGTAAGATTCTTCTTTTATTGTTTAATTTCAGTGCTTGCTTACATATCGCAAGGCAATAAAAATAATCGATCATTAAATACATTTCGAGACCCTGTGTATCTGCTCCCTAAGCACCCAAACTCTGCCTACACTCACAAACTGCACCCGTCTTTCTACCATGCATTGTACATAACGGTGGACAAAGAGATGCCCCAGAGAAAGAAAGAAATAAGTAAAAAACAAATCAAAAGCCTTAATCATTTTTAGGCAGAGAAACAAAAGAAAAAAGACCTGGTTTTGTTTTTGTTTCATCAGCCAGGTTCCATTAATGTTGGCAGGATAGCAGTTGGTATGTTAAAGATTCAGCAGTATTGATTCCAGCTGCAGTTACAGCTGAATCCAATGCAGCTAACTGCAGATTATAGAAGCCGGTGAAAATGCTAACCCAGCCAGTTCAAGCAATTGGTCACCGTTTACTGTGAGATATTTTTGTATCATACACATTGGGAGCTTCTAGTTTTTTTATTCAGTGTTAGCCATGTTATTTGTTGCACTGATCCCTTGTGGGATTCACTCTGACATGGTAATTTAGACTCCTAATAGGTATCTGGAAGACCTTCTCCTGATGATTTCCTACAGATTTAAAGCCCATATCCGGAACTGCTGTAGCTTTTGTTTTCCTTGTTTTAACGTGACTGATGTAGCTCATGAAAGGTTTGCTAAAGATAGCTCCTTAGTTCAATCAGGTGTATTACAGCAGGGAAAACGCAAAACTATGCAGCCATGTGGCACCTCAGGATGAAGCAGCACAGTAGCTGCAGAGTTAGTCGTGAGTTTATCGTCATAAACAAGGAACACATGCGATATTGTCTTCTAAATATGAATATAAAACAGACACAGAACCTGTTAGGCAGCATCTTTTCAGGAATACTTTTTTAAAAATGGGTTCTCATAAAAACCAAGTAATAAGATGGAGACCTTAATGACTTTAAAGAGGCATTCCAGCTATGGAATAAAAATGCTGTTAACATGCCTTCTGACCTCCTAAATTGATACTACAGTGGCCTATAAGCGTGAGATTTTCTGGTTTAAAGATTAAACACCCTTTGGATGATGTATCTTCAAGGTTGCAGGTGCTTTGGGGATAACTGAGGGCATGCAGTTTGAATTGTAAGGAAACTAGCAACGTTACTGCCAGGGACTGTCATGACTGTCACATCTGTGTTTTTGTGAGTCTAGAAAATAATAAGCGTATTTCTTTATCACCCGATGGTTATATGACATTTTTGTGTCAGGCATTATTGCATTGTGTAATGCAATACTGTAGTGAGACAGCACTGATGTATGAAAACAATAAAAGAATTATGTCTTTTTAAACATGTTCCTGTTTTTGCACTTGTACAGAGATAAATGATCGAGAGCAGAGGCTGCAGACCATGAAGGACGTGCTGAGAAGGTTTCCCCGCGAGAACTACGAAGTCTTCAAACATGTCATGAGCCACCTGAACAAGTGAGGCTCTTGCTGTGTTCAGCAATCACAGTCTTTAACAACTAAAACTTTAATTCCTGGGCTTCCTTAGGACCGTACCATTGCAACATAACGCAAACAGATGTTGGATCAATTAAACTACATTAGAATGTATTCTCCTACAGTGTAAAAAGTTCCTCCAGTTATATTTGTGCATTCTGTGTATTTCAATCCATGTGACTTGTTGTGAAACTAGACATAACAATCGTAAATTGAATCATTGTTCTTTCTGTTTTTCTCTTAGGGTCAGTCAGTGGAACAGGGTGAACCTAATGACCAGTGAGAACCTGTCCATCTGTTTCTGGCCCACGCTGATGCGACCCGACTTCACCACCATGGATGCCCTGACGGCCACGCGCACCTACCAGACAATCATTGAGTCTTTCATCCACCAGTGCGCGTTCTTCTTCTACAACCAGGCCCCTGCCGAATCCCCCACGGGACCCTTTGGGGCTCCGGGACCGCTGGTGCCCTCCGCTCTGCCCCCATCACCCACTGCCGCCCCATCTTGTGTCCCCCCGCCTTCACACTTTAGTCCCCTGCTGCAGTCTCCCCCCAACTCGCCCCCCCAAAGCCCCCACACTGTCCCACCAGAGCCACAGACACTGTGAGGCAGGGAACGTGTAGACACACACACACACCCTTAATCGTTTACTTTTTACTTGCCTATCGCCGATGTGTTTGCAGACGTACTCATTACTCATATCCCTCATGCATGCACACGCCGCAGTCTTTACACAGGCACTTGAAAACACAGTACATATATTTAGGTCGGTGTTGCATGTGGTAATTGGATACAGTGCTGCAGTGCTGTACTGAGTTAGTGAATGATTTGCACACTCTTGAAACAAAAGCGTGCTGTTGATGCCGGGCGTACACTACATAGTTCAGAAAATCCTAACCAGTGGTCAGAAATGGAAGCAGTTTTACAGACTTTCTTGCCTTTTTGTTGGGAGGGCATACAAAATAAGCTTAAGTAGGCAAAATACTCACAGCCCAGGACTTGTGAACATTTTCATTCATTAAAATCAAAAAATGTTTAAAATTGTATGTTCTCGGCTCTCAAGTGGTGCACCTGTCTACGCGTTGGCCCTGTCATCAGGAGATCACGAGTTCGATCCCTGGTGACGGTACAGCCATCCATGGACAGGAGTCCAAGAGAGCACAATTGGCCTTGCTCTCTGGGTGGGTAGGATGGCCCCCCTTCTCCCCCATCACTCAACGCGATGCTAGTCATCGCAGGCGTCTTTTAGCTGACATAACAGATCTGGCGGTTGGCGCTTTCCTCCGAGCGCGTTCAGATGTCCAGTGACGTTGCATGAGTGGCAGTTCAAAAAGATGCGGTTCGGAGGAAGCCTGTGTTAGCCTTCGCCCTCCTAGCGTTGGTAGTATCGTGTGATTGGGGGAGTCATAACTAGTGGGTGGAATTGGAGACGACTAAATTAGGGAGAAAATCATTGGGAAAAAAATTCTACGTTCTCGATGAATCGGCTCAGTGATTACTTTGCAGTTTGAATGATAAATACAGTATCCTACAGTAGTTTCATACAGTGAATGTGTATATGTTTGTACTTTTCAAGTACCTGAAGGAAAATTAAATATTTAGTTGTTTGTCAAAATAATTGCTTGAATGTTTGATAGTGGTAGCTCTATTTGGAAGGTCTCTGATTACGCGACCTAGATTGGAAGGCTAAACACTGAGTTCACCCACTCACATTATCAGATCATCAATCAAGCTCCCAACCTGAAAAGTCACTTCTGGTTGTGAAAATAAGCCCAAAAACCAGGCCCAACTTTGTGTAGTGTACGCCTCGCTATACACGCAGATGGTTTTAAGCATACTTTCAGAATACGCACAGTCATGTGATGGAATTCACCAAATGTTCGTAGCTCTGCGTGTACGTTCTCACTCAGATACGCACACAAACGCAGACGGTTCTCCATATCTCTGCGTTCACTGCATCCTCCCATCCTGCCTCACGGGGCACTGTGCAGATGGATCAGGACTTTTCCTTTTTAACGAAAGTGAACATTTCGCAGTTTAGTAGAGTTTGCAGTTTTTCCCATTTTTGTCTTTCTCTGTCTCTTCCTCACTCAATCTCTCCCTCACTCCTGTGCTGGTTTCCTGAACTCAGACTGTGGCTGCTCTTTGGTCCAGAATAGATGAAGAAGATAGAGGTGGGATGTGCATTTCGAATGGCGTTCCATCCATCCAGGCACTTAGTCCTTTCTTGAAGACTCTGTCCAATGAAGATCAACAAACTTTGGGAGAGTATCAGAAATGTTTTATTTATTTATTTTGAAGAATGGCATCACTGCTGCTGCACCCTCATTTGCCACTTTGTCTGACAGTAATGACCACCTTTCGCCCACGTTTGACCCCTTTCATGAGAGACGATATGGATTTAAAGACCGGAGGTGAAAGTTCCTCCGTACTCCATGACTTGAAGCCTCTGGACATGCTAAGGTGTGGCATTTGTGAAGTTCTGCTCATTGGTTCCTGTGGATCTGTGCCCTTAAATTTCAGCCAATGGGAGTGTACCTGCTTTTGTTCCGAGACCTTTTCTTCCTGGAACGCTGGGATCTGTTCGGCAGATGAACTGAGGGGATGCACTTTATCGTTGGGTGAAGGAAGTGCCCCAGGGCCTTTTGCTAAACTTTTGAACTTAACCTCTTAACACTTTGAACCTCTTCACCAAGGGCGAACCCAAAACCCTCACAACCTTAATGTAGGATACGAATTCCAAAAACCACATCAGTAGGCCTTCTATGGACGCCCCCTTGTGACTGTTTAAAAAAAAAAAAAAGTCGAAAAAAGAAACGGCACCGTTTTCACTTACTAATCTAAAGCACTTTGATTTTATTTGACATTTTACTTAGACCTGTTTTGTGAAACATAACACTGAATTCCGTTTGGTTTAAGTCATAGCCCGTCTCGGGGGACGATTTCCGATCTTTCGCGAGGCTTCAGCGTGTCTTTGTCCTGGATTTTTCTTGTACATGCGTGTCATTAAGGCTAAGCCATGACTAATGTAGACATTAACTCATATCATGATTGTTTGAACATGTACTCAGATTTCAACATGTACAGCAGTCCCGCTCTCCGCATCTGCCATCGCATACGCCGTCTCCGCTCTCCAGAGTGTCAGTGCATTTCATGAATCCGTATGATGTATAAAAAAGAAGATCCAGCGGCTCATTGTGTGTAGATTGTAAATGACTTTGCTCTTCTCTTAAAACATGAAGCCTTTCTGAAACTGAGATTTGTAATATACAGTTTGCTTGAAATGCCCCTTCCTTTCTTTCTTTTTTTTTTTTTTAAATCCAGCCAAGGTACAGTAGCTTAAGTACCAAAGTAGTGCTCAGTGACCAGCTAGACTCAGACACTAGTTTGAATGACTATTTTGACGATTTGATAGGGGTGATAACTTTCATCTAGGTTCAGATACTTGACACGTCGTTCGTGCTTTTCTTTCAAACAGGAAAATCAGCTTCTTGGATGAAATATGAATGTTTCTGATCATATGTGTTCTTTCAGTAACTGGGATTCTACAGCTGGAAAGAGCAAATCGAGAACTCATTCAGCTACGTGGCAGTTGGCCTGTCTGTACGCCACCCACAAATATGTCTTTTCGTAGGGGCTGTTGCTATTTGGCAAAAATCCCATTAAAACTAGCGCTCAAGTCAGTTTTTGTCAAAACACCTACATTTGCTGTGGTTTATTAACTTCAGGTACCTCATAGAATGGTTTGTGGTGTAATGGGGGTTTTTTGGGACGAACATCTGATTGTTGAGGCTGAGAAACTTCACAGACTTCTGCTGTGTATAACGAGGTTAGTGTGTAATGTTGCAAGCTAGCAAAGAAACATTGTAGCCTATGTTTAGCTGAAGTAACTTTGCCGATAACACTTTGCCGATAACACTGCCGATAACATTGCCGATAGCCTGATACTGAGTGTGTTTACACGCACTTGATATTCCAAAAACAGCAGAAAATCAGAATTTGTGAGTAATCCGATCAACGCATTTACATGCACTTGAGGGATCAGGTAATGTGAAAACTCCAGGTCTACATGAGTCAGACAGTAATCAGATTTCTGCTTTGCAACCGGCCAATAAACTCATGACATAAACATAATGTAACTTTTTTTTAATGAACCTTGCACCACTAAAAATATAAACATACATCTTCTAAAAGTATTTATAAAAATATTTAAATTCTTCATTTCCTCAAGCATGTTTTTGGTCTTGGCGTCGCTCCAAAAGTGTTTTGCTGCGTCTTGCGGCAATGTTGACCGCTTACCGTCTACCGTGGTCTGTTTTCACACAGGAGCAGGCTGAGAAATATGAAAGAAATTAGAGTAAGAGTCTACATGCACTGAGAAATCTGATTACTGAGCTAAAATCCAGCTTTCTTAATTTTCTAGACCTTACTCCAATCTGAGAAATCAGAGTGTGCCGTTTACATGCTCATTTGAATAATCAGATAAGTGCAGAAATCTGATTATGGTCTGATTATTGAGTGCATGTAAACAGACTCAGTGTGCTGCCTTGAGCTTCTTGAGGTTTTTAGACAGCTCTTTCTTTAGAACCACGACCAGAAGGCCAGCCTTGCGTCTGCAGCATTGATTCATTTCTTCATTGTGTGCACGGCATAAAACATATAATACAGCAGATCCTTCAGTCTCTATGAAGTTAATTCAGTCTTACATGCTTGCTGTAGCTGCAAGACCACAGTTTGACTAAGGCCCAATCCCATTTCTTCTTTTTACCCCTACCCCTTGTTTTTGAGTGTTACCCTCACCCCTTGGAACTGAGTTACAAGGGGTAGTGGTTGAAATCTTGCCCTACGAAATGGGACAACCCTCAAAACTTTTCTTTTTTTCTCATAACACTCCGTTTGGAGGACCATGTAGCCCTAACACTTCACCCTACCCTTCTATCACAACAAAATTTGGGACCCCCTAACCCTAGACATGAACACGCAAAATAGAGGGCTAAGGGCTAAGTGGTAGGGGCGAGGGGTGAAATGGGATTGGGCCTGAGATTACATCCCAGGATAACAGCTAATCTATTCTATAAACTATTTAATATGGCATAGGAGCTGTTAGACTAGACCAACAGCTGCACAGCATATATCCCCCATTGACAAATTTTTTGAGGATGAAGACCCAAATTTGAGCAATTGGTGAGAATCTAACCTCTAAGATGCTAACCTGGTAGCTAGGCTAGCGCTTGTGCTTGCACACCACTAAGCAGGTCCAGCTCCACTGTACCTTCTAGTTAGCTGTGTTTACCATTTAGCAATTGGCTAAAAATTAACTGGCATGAAAATCTGTTTATTTGTTGGTAAATAATGTTAAAGTCTGAGCTAATATTGTAGTTATTATAGTGCCGACATCAGATAACTTCTGTATTGGAGGGAAACAACGACCCCATAAAGGATTTCTGCAGTAAAAGTATCCCTCCTCTCCCGTTGGGTTACAGCATCTGACCGCACTGCGGCTGGACTTTTCAAAGCTTCTCAATGGCTGCTTTGAAAGAATGCATTTGTGGGCAGAGCATGGATTGGTCAGTTCTGTGAGTTTAGACTGAGAAATCTAGTCTTGATGAGTTCAGGTTTGCTCCTTCCGTCTTGTTCAACATGAGCTCCTGTGACGTTCTGGAAATGTGCACAAGCTGAGTCGATGCAGCCTGTATGAGTGTGTGCGTGCGTGCATACTTGAGCATTCATGTTCTAGAATATTCTGAAACTGGTGATGATCGTTCAGTTGGCTGATAAGTCGCTGTGATTTGATTTGAAGGTTTAATCTATGCTGGACTTGCTTTGATGTCCTGAACGATTTGACGCTTAAACAATGCGACAGGGTCACCTCTGCGTTCATGGTTGCTGCAGATGGCATTTTGCTTTCTATTTGAAGTTCTAACCTTTCTCAGAAGAGTAGGGCTGTTTTAGCATCAGTGCTAACAGCCTGGTCCATGATGCCTATAATCAGGATATCCAGAGAGAAACTATACAGGATTATCTTACAGTTTTCCCGAAAAGCAGGACAGAATGAACACTGGTGTGTCTTTTGATTGTTTGCAGGAATATTGATCGGGGTAAGAGGATGTCTTTTAAATGTTTTCTCCAAGCCAGGCCCATTTTCTGCTTTAGGTGGGGCTCTGTTATCTGCTGCCCTCTTGTGACCATAGTGTGAACTGCAGATGAGTCAGGTTTCTGTGTGAAAATAGCTCATTTTTTTCTATGCTTATCACCTACAGTATGAGTCAAAGGTTAGAAGGCACGTATGAAGGGTTTGTCTTTCTCGTTTTAGATCAGTGATGAAGATGTGAAAAATAACATGAACATTAAAAAAGCCTATTAAAGTTTGCACATATTCAACTTCTTTATTTATATTCGTCTTAGAAACAAATGTCAAGCATTGAAGGACCAGCTGTAAGATCTGTGGTCCCCCAAACTGGTTCTGGAGATCTACTTTCCTGTTGAATCCAGTTCCAACTACATCTTCTCCAGCTGATTAACTTCTTCAGAAGGCCTTGATTGGCTGGGTCAGATGCTTTAGTGTTAGGTGAGGAATGGGCAGAATGTTAGATGCAGTTTGGAAAGTAAATCTTTAGGAGGACAGTTGGAGACCACTGTGTTAAAAATGCCGTGAAAACCAATCGGGTGTGTTCAAACTTTTGACTTGAACGATTTTACCTTTGATGGAAATGACTGCGGTGGTATTTAGTAGCTTCTGCATCTAAACCCGTCTCGGAGCCTCTTTGGTACCTCATTGGTTCGTTGCTCCCTGTTACTGAGTTTAAAATGCATAGCGTCATGTTGGAAGGAGGCTGTCCTGCTGTATGATAGGTGTATAGTCATGTTCTAGAGTGTGAGCGGTGGTTGACTGTGTGGCTGCATCACTTCAGCTCTTGCAAGTTCTACAACAATCACAGCAGCAAGACAGATTGTTCTTTTATAGTGAAGTAAATACAGAAATCCCGATGGGTGTTCATTCGTGAGTGTGAGATGTCTAATGTTTTTGCCTTTTTCTCGATGGATGCTGTTTATTTTGATACTGAACAACATTTTTTTTTCCTTTCTTTTTGTGGATGGATTTAGGGTGAACTCAGTACCATGCATGATTGAAAACCCTTACTGGGAGAAAGGGTTGCCACTTTTCAGTATTTTGAAAATCATGAAATTATGAATAACATGTATTTAAAGATGTAAATGGTGTGAAATGAAAAGAAGCATCAGCAGAGCTTCTCCTGGAGGAGAGACAGGAGAGCTCTATGTGAGCTGTACCATAGACAATAAACCAGTCCTGTTACATGAAGGAATGTGGTGATGCTGTCTTTGTTTTGCTTTTCCTGAGAAAGTGCCACGCCCACTTACCAACTCAGTGGTGGTGATAGGAACCAGGGGTTGCGTCTACAACACAAAGCCATTTTTTATACAGATGATGGTAAAATGGTAAGTTTTTCTTTGGGGACTATTTTGTGTTACAACACCCTGCATGTACCTCTCCACCCTGAATGGGTTTAAAAAATGTTTTAGGCTGATTTCATAACTATTGTAAAAGAATGTCTCAGGGCATCAGGCAGCATTTTCATAAACATTTCAAAAGTTTGGATACACCTAGTCAAGGTTGGATACACTTAATTACTAAACCACTTAATTATGCAGAAATCTTGAAATGTCTGGAATGTCCAGTACTATTATAACACATAAACCAAATGGGAATGTTGTGTTTATTTGTTTATATTAAAAAAAACATGGCCAAGTCAGTCCTAAAGGGTTCTAATAAGACAAAAGTTCTTCTCTTGAGTGATGTCATGCTCTAGCTTAAGTTGGAAAGACTGGATGATACAACCTCATTTCCAAAAGTTGTGATGTAAATAAAAACAAAATGCAATGATGTGCAAATCAGTTAAACCCTGTATTTAATTGGAAATAGTACAAAGACAGCATATCAGATGTTGAAACTGAGAAATTGTTTTTTGAAAAATATTTGCCCATTTTGAATTTGATGCCAACAACATGTTTCAAAAAAGTTGAGATGGGGGCAACAAAAGGCTGGTAAAGTTGAATAATGCTAAAAACAACACCTGGTGGTTAATTGGCAACAGGTCAGTAACATGATTGTGTATAAAGAGCATCTCAGAGAGTCCGTCAGAAGTAAAGATGAGGAGGTTCACCACTCTGTGAAAGACTGCACCATCAAATAGTGCAACAATTCAAGAAGAATGTTTCTCAAAATAGCAAAGAACTTTTGCTTTTCACCATCTACGATATATAATAACATTAAAAGATTCGATGAATCTTGACAAATGTCTGTATGTCAGGGACAAGGCCAAAAACCAGTATTTGCTGGCTGTGATCTTTGGGCCCTCAGGCTGCACTGCATTAAAAACAGACATGATCCTGTAGTGGAAATCACTGCATGGGGTCAAAAACACTTCTGAAAAAAACTGTCTATGGAAACAGTTTGTCACTGCATCCACAAATGCAAGTTAAAACTCTAAAACACAAAGCAGAAACCATATATAAACAGGATCCAGAAATGCTGCCACCTTCTCTGGGCCCAACCTCATTCAAAATGGAAGTTTAAATGTGTCCTGTGGTCCAGCGAAATTTGAAATTCTTTTTGGAAATCATGAACACTGTATCCTCCGGGCTAAAGACCACTCAGCTTGTTATCAGTGCACTGTTCAAAAGCCAGTATTCATGATGGTATAGGGGTGCATTAGTGCACATGGCATGGGTGATGTGCACATCTGTGAAGGCACCATTAATGCTGAACAATATATACATGTTTTGGCAACATATGCTGACATCCAGATGACGTCTTTTCCAGGAAAGGGCTTGATTATTTCAGCAAGACGGTGTCAAACCACATTCTGCACATATTACAACAGCACTGCTCTGTATTAAAAGAGTCTGGGTGCTAAACTGGCCTGCCTGCAGTCCAGACCTGTCACCACTGAAAACATTTGGCACATTATAAAATGAAAAATACAACAAAGGAGACCTCAAACTGTCGAGCAGCTGAAATCCTGTATCAAACAAGAATGGAAAACATTTCACTTTCAAAACTACAGCAGTGTCTCCTCACTTCCCAAACGCTTACAGGGTGCTGTTAAAAGAAGAGGTGATGAAACTCAGTGGTAAACAGGCCCCCGTCCTGACTTTTTTGGAACATGTTGTTGGCATCAAATTTAAAAGGGGCAAATATTTTTCAAAAAACAATAAAATTTCTCAGTTTCAACATTTGATTTGTTGTCTTTGTAGTATTTTCCTTTAACAGTATGATTTACATGATTTGCGCATCATTGTATTCCATTTTTATTTGCATTCTGCACAGCGTCCCAACTTTTTTGGAAATGGGGTTGTATAGTAACGATGCATGTGAAACTAATATTACTTGTGAATAACATTATTCAGATTTTCAACTACAGTCCGTCATGGCATACCATTTTCAATATTCATAACTCATGAGGTGGACGGTGCACTAAAACCTGGAAAAATTGCTACCACATGTAGAGATGGAAATCACAGCAGAGCAGGGGATTTTCCCAACTTGGTTCTCCTGCTCTAGAACAGCAGCAGAGAACTTATTTCAGGATGCACAGTATATTTTTCAGCCACTGAAGTGTGGCGTTCACTTTTAACTGAGATCAAACAGAATTTAAAGTAAAATGTGGGATATTTCAGTAATTTCCTGAATTCTTTAGTTGTGTTTATGCTGTGACCCAGATTTATTGGTAAAATCATAAAGATCTGTCTTTGCATAGAAATGTTTAATGCAGAAACCTGGCAATTCACTTTATAAGTAGCCTATCATAATCTGATCAGCCGCTAGTATAATGATAATTTCCTTTAGCTCCCCTATGGAAATTTGTAGCACCAAGTTAGCGGGTCCAACTGCAGCTTAAACATGAGCATGTGAAGCTCATATCAGCCATTTAAAAGACATTCTTTATGTGCAGTTTTACCTTAAATCCATCTTTAAAAGTAGATTCTCAATATTGTTGAAGCAGCTTGTTAGCCTGTTAGCTACATGCTAGCCTCATCTAGTGAGGGCAGAACAGAGTCAATATGAAGTATTAACTGGTTATAGAAGGCTTGTTAACAGAACCCAGTGATGTTCATTTGGTTGCACTTTATAGATGAGGATTTCAGCAATAACAAGCTTCAAGCTATGAAATGCTATTGTACTGGAGGTGAGAATGTACGGTGTCCATTTCCCAACAAAAAAGTTTAGTCCAACAAATTAACTAGCTCAGTTAACCAGGTATTGAGTGAGTTAAAGCTAGAAATATTAACAGGCTAGTTGGCTACCAAGTTAGCTGATACTTTACATAATAGTTGGCATAATAACTAGCTAATATTTCATAACTGAACTTTTGGAGTCAGTTTAATCCAGCGGCTGATCTAAATGGCTTCACAAGTTTGATTATTTCCCTCCTCCTCTCTTTCTCCACCTCCTCTCTGTGACACATTAACCCACAGAAAACCAGGAAGTCCCTCCTACTCAGTTCAGACAAAACGAAACTGATCTCAGAGAGCTGCTCTCTCTCAGACTAGAAGGGCAGGAAAATGGCCAGTATTTCAGTAGATCACGACCAGTTCAGCTGTCCAGTCTGTCTGGATCTGCTGAAGGATCCAGTGTCTCTTCCTTGTGGACACAGTTTCTGTATGGTGTGTATTAATGGCTGCTGGGATCAGGAGGATCAGAGGGGGGTCTACAGCTGCCCCCAGTGCAGAGAGACCTTCACTCCAAGGCCTGTTCTACGCAGAAACAACGTAATGGCTGAAGTGGTGGAGAAACTGAAGGAGACAGAACTCCGAGCTGCTTCTCCTGCTCCCCGTTACGCTGGACCTGGAGATGTGGAGTGTGATTTCTGCACTGGGAGAAAACTCAAAGCCATCAAGTCCTGTCTGACGTGTCTGGCCTCCTTTTGTGAAACTCATCTTAAACCTCACTGTGAAGTTCTTGGATTGAAGAAGCACAAGCTGGTCAAAGCCTCCTCACAGCTACAGGAGAAGATCTGCTCTCAGCACGACAAACTGATCGAGATCTACTGTCGTACTGACCAAAGCTGCATCTGCTATTTGTGTATGATGGAGGAACACAGAGGTCACAATACAGTCCCAGCTGTAACTGAGAGAACCGAGAAACAGGTGAGAACAAGAAATCATTAACATTTTTATTATTTGTATCATAATAGTTTTCGCATTCAATAGATTATTTTCATAACAATGTGGATATGAAAGTATTTAATAAATAATAAATAATTACATGACAGAGTGCAAACTGTATAGAACAAGAAGAGGTTTCAGCTCTTTAACTTTGTAGGTTTTAATACACAAAAACTCATAAACATCACAAAATGTATTTGTTCATAGAATCAGCTGAAGGAGATTCAGAGTAAATTCCAGCAGAGAATCCAGGAGAAGCAGAAGAAGCAGCAGGAGCTGAAACAGACTGTGAAGACTCTTAAGGTGAGAATTGAGCAGAGATTTGGTGTTTCAGAGCTCAGTCAGTCTCTCCTCCACAGTGTGGACAGTAAGTCATCTAGAATCACAGTAAGAGAGGAAATGATGGTTCAGTTTTAAAGGAACTGTTTGGTGAGAAATCAGATTTACATTATAAGACTTATTAATCACAGTATCAGGTGATTGGCAGCTGATTTGTACATGTATTCAATCCACTAGGATGTAGGTACTGTATATAGTGTATAGTGTGGGGGCACCGTATAGTACATCATTCACAGCCAGCTGTTACCTGCTCAGTTGTGTCAGACTGTTGACAGCACTGGTGTCGTGTCGTTGGGTGATTACTGGTGACTTGACTTTACAGCTCTGTTCAGAGTGCCAGCCCGAATCCGATTTTTGGGATAATCAGAATGTATCCAGATTTATTTATGATAGTTTGGACACTGAAAAACCAGATGAAATCCGATTTTTGCAAATCGGATCCAAACCATATTTGGAAGTGATTTGAAATGCGATTCCATTCTGATTTTTACAGATGAGTCTCAGTCTGGACACTCAAATCAGATTTTAAAGTGTGTTTTGCGTCACTTGCAATGCGACAAACAACAACGTGGTCAAATCCAGAGTGACTGAAGTTCTGGGATTCAAGAAGAGCTCCAGTAGTTCATGATTATTCCAGAGAATTCTGAAGAGTTTGGAGGGAGAGATGATGAACCTCCATTTTTCATGTTTGAAATACACGTCACCAGCATAGCTACATAGTTACTGATGCCTAAATCGTTACCACAGCAACCCACACAAAGAGGCTGGTAACGTCTGGACACACAAATCCGATCTGATTTCTTGCAAACAAAAGTGTTTCACTTTTTATCGACTGCAGCATGAAGAGAATGAGACACTAATGTAGGCGTCTTTTAATGAATCAGTCTCTGTAAACTACAACATATAAAGTAAAACTATGTTTCTTAAATGTCTGTTAAAAGCTTCTACTCTCCATCTTTAAGCTGTAATGAACTGTCACCCCGATTGACGGAAAACAGACATGAAATCTGATCTGACTAGTCAAACTGAGTCACATATCCATAAATCTGATTTGAATCAGATTCGAAACCACCTGCATTTTCAGAAAAAGGTCCTAAACTGTCACAGTGGTGCTGACAAGGGTACGACTTCAGTACCTTTAGTTAGGGAACACAAATGTATCAAATTCTACTGCAAGTACATTTTTAAGTTGTTTTGACTCCACACAGTCCGTCTCGTCTCCAGCCTTTTTATTTCATTGTTCGATTTAAAAATTTTGGTCATGAAAAGGTAATAATGTACATTTTTCTGGAAAAAACTTATTTAAAGTACACAGTTAGACATTAAATCCGCTGTTGTACGTTTATATTTTATGTACCTTGATGACTGAAATACGAACCTGCACAGAACCTTTTTTTCCAATGGTAAACAAAAGTGGCTTGAAGTGGTTTGAAGTGGCTTTTTGTCATTCAGACTGCAGGAAATCTGTTCAGCTCAAATCGGATCTGACAAAAACTCACCTTTGGGCTGTCTGGCTGAAAAAGGCCTAATAGACTTGCTTATGTGGGTCTGACACTGTATGACACACTGTTATTTGTAAACACAGACAAAATAATGTCACATAGCTACAAAAGTTCTTTATTTTACAGATGTTATTTACAGTGTCAGTAACTACAAACAAGTCTATTCTACATTATTTAACAACTCAATGTGGTTTGTTAACTGTGAGAATATAGTCATGCAGTTTACACCATGATAATAGAAATAAGCTTCCATTACATTTAAACTACATTGAAGGTAATTTGGGGAAAACTGAGCATATTTCATATTTTAACTGTTCTTTTAACCCTTAAAGATCCTGAATGTGGCTGTAGATTTCCTTTAGTTTCATATAGTTACTGAATGATAAACGTTGAGATGAATGACTGAATAATGCGGCTCAGTTTAAGAGGTGAAATGTTCCTCCATCTGGTGTGTTCTTGTCCTAACAGCGCTGTGCTCAGTCAGCAGTGGAGGACAGTGAGAGGATCTTTACTGAACTGATCCGCTCCATTGAGAAAAAGCGCTCTGAGGTAGCAGAGCTGATCAGAGCTCAGGAGGAGGCTGAACTGAGTGGAGCTGAAGAACTCCTGGAGAAACTGGAGCAGGAAATCGCTGATCTAAAGAGGAGACACACTGAGCTGGAGCAGCTTTCACACACAGAGGATCACATCCATTTCCTCCAGGTAACAATCACTGATCTACAGAGGAACCTGCTCCTCATCCAGCTTCTAAAACTCCTCTCAGCAAAAGTTCATTAAGGCAGCAGTAAATCTACCTGTCTGTGATCACAAGTCTGTCTTTAGTCTGATTGGAGCTCCTTCATTTCTCTTGTACTCCTTTATCTTCCTCCACTGTGTTTGTTCTCTCTGTAGAGTTTCCAGTCTCTCTGTGTCTCTTCTGGATCTGAGGACTCACCCAGCATCACTGTCCATCAACACCTCTCATTTGATGGAGTGAGGAGATCTCTCTCTGAGCTGAAGGAGCGACTAGAGGAGTTCTGCAGAGAGGAGTTCAGTAAAATCCCTCCACATGGTAAGAGGAGCTGTCCTGCTGTGGAACAGAAGGATGGAAATCTTAACACAGCAGAGAAAGACAAAATAAGTAGATTCCACTTTTAATATGATCATTTTTTAGTTTTAACTGCATAAAGTCTCTCTCATTCTATTCTATTCTATTCTATTCTATTCTATTCTATTCTATTGACTGTGTTGGTCTGTTGTGTGTTTGTGTCTCCACAGCTGCAGCAGTTCAGATTTTATCCTCAGAACCAAAAACCAGAGAAGATTTTCTGCAGTGTATGAGTAACAAACACACACACACACACACACTCACACACACACACACACACACAGGCACACACACACACACACACACACACACACACAGACACACACAGACACACACACACACTCACACACACACACACACACACACACACACACACACACACAGACACACACACACACACACACACAAACACACTCACACACACTCACACTCACACACTCACAAACACACACACACACACATACACACACTCACACTCACACACACACTCACAAACACACACACATACACACACTCACACACTCACACACACTCACACACACACACAGACAGACATACATACACATTGTTCGTATTTCTGTCTTGTTTAAATTTGATTGATTTGTTTACTTAGTGTCTAAAATATTCAGCGTGGGGGTGATTAAGGAGGAAAAACACTGACACTGTATTTTTCTTCTCAAAGTACTTAAAAACACTGAAATGCAAATGTTCTTTCTTTCTTTCTTTCCTGACATCCTTCCTTCCTTCTTTCCTTTAGATTTCTGTCAGCTGACTCTGGATCCCAACACAGCGTATCGTTCCCTCATTCTGTTTGAGAAGAACAGAGTGGTGATATCCAGTAATACATTCCAGTCATACTCTGACCATCCAGAAAGATTTAACTACTGGCCTCAGGTGTTGTCTAAGGAGAGTGTGAGTGGACGCTGTTACTGGGAGGTTGAGTGGAGCCGTGAGGGAGGAGCTGTGTACATATCAGTCTCATATAAAGGGATCAGCAGGAAAGGACGGGGTAATGATTGTTTGTTTGGACGCAACCGTCAGTCCTGGAGTCTGCAGTGTTCTCCGTCTCTCATTTTCTGGCACAACAACATTCAGACTGAGATCTCAGGACCATCATCCTCCAGAATAGGAGTGTATGTGGATCACAGTGCAGGAACTCTGTCCTTCTACAGCGTCTCTGACACAATGACCCTCCTACACACAGTCCACACCACATTCACTCAGCCGCTCTACGCTGGGTTCACCTTTGGTGGTGCTGGATCATCTGTGAGATTATGTGATAAATAATAATTTATCTATTAAATATGATGGTTACCCTATAGATACTGTAATGGACACCTAATACACTACACTAATAGCTTTGGCTCCACAGAGTCTCAGTTACCACCATAAACTGGATTCAGAACGCTCACAGATTTTATGGTTTGCAGCTCATGTTAAGAACCAGGCCCTGACCTCTGGGGGGCCAACCCCCAATCACTAACAATGGGGCCATTAAAGACTCTCTCTGGACACAGCAGTATGGCTGGACCAAAACTCTGTGAGTAACAGAAAACCAAATTTCAGAAACTCATATCAACTCCAAACGTTAATCACTCATCCTGGTTTGATACAAGAAGACTGGAGAGACCAAACATAAAGTTGTTGCGACAGATTGTTATGAAACCGTATCTCTTATCTTTGAATTGAATTTCCAACATGGACCAACAGCTCCATCAAGTGGCTGGAATAAGATGTGTCACACCATTGCAAAGCCATCCCATCACTGATTAAAAGACCTGTAATTTCACATATATCTGCATGATGTTTAAAACGTCCTGTTGTTTGTAAGCGATATTCATTTTTTATGCTACTAATTCCTTAAACGTGTATCTCCTGTACCAGTAGATGTTAAGAGTACAGAATGTTTGTCGCCTTGTTAATCTTACACATGTAATCATTTTCTTGTAGTAAACCTCAGAGCTCAAGTATGTAAACCTGAACACATATTTTTCTTTCATTTTTGTTTTCTTTTGTTCTGGTTTTGTTTTTGTTTAGTTAACAATAATATTGTGGTTGCACTACTTGTAACAAACAATACTCAGATAACACACAGAGTGCATGCTCATGCCTTTTAATATGTGTGTTGGTTCCAGGTACCTTGGGTTCAAACTGTCTATTATGAAACATAAACAGATATCCTCTTTTCTTTGTTTCCTTGGTTCTACAAGTTTCGAGGGAGTGATTCAAACCATTATGGTACCTGAAATGTACTTCATTTATTCAGTCATTTCAAATCAGATTCGACCAAAACAAAGAAAGGTGTGATTCCTGTGGGGAGGCACTCATAGACTGTGTACCACCAATCAGAGTTGAAGACGGTGAATAGCTAATCACCCTTATGTGTGAAGGACCTATCAGTGCTCTGGCTCCACACCACGAGGGAATGGCCTAAGGCCAGAACAAAACCTGAGTGCAACGCATTTTCAACCAGTTTGGATAAAAGAATGCAAGTAAATAAAGTAAGTAGTACTTGTCTAGGCCAGAGCATAGAACGTTCACTGTCAGATCTGAGAAAATCCACCTTACTACTCTTAGAAATAGAGCTGAAGAAGTCTGTCTCACGGCCAACAACCGATTACTTCACTTTTATCTTAGCAAAACAGAGGAAGTTAGTTGATAGTTAGCACTGTCACTACCTGATTTTGACCACGCATGTGTAACCCATGTTTTAAATGGCCAGAAATTATATCCAGACACACAGTAGAATAATAATAAAAATAATGATTTATTTAAGAAACAATATAACACAGAAATAGAAAAGTCAAAATAGATGAGTAAAGAAAATAAACTGAGCATTAATCAACAGCCAATAGTTCTTTGACAAGTCATGGTCTGAAAGAGAGATGGTCAATCAGCGCTAAGTGGGTGTTACCTCCGCCTATCCCCAAAAAAACATCCCGTGAAGAAAACGCAGAGTTAGAAGAAGAGAGAACACTGAAGTAAAACAACAAGGAAAAACTTGGAAGATATACTAGACATATAAGTATTCTAAAGAATACTTATTTGATACCTAGAACCACTGGATATTTGAGACTGGAAGCTAGTAGAAAGTCAGTTAAATAGAACTATTGAGGTGCTTCTACTTACTCTGAGCTGTGTGAACTTTGAGACGAAATACGTCTGAAACGACTATTTCGATTTATACTGGATTGGATTTGGTCAGTTTTCTGTGGGTTTGTTTCAACTCTCCCCTGCATTCGGCTGCACGTGGTGTGTGCACCTGTTTGGACACTAGATGGCAAGCCAAGCCCATGTCTAGAGGACAATTCACCAGACTTTCGAGTTCGAGCACTATAGACAGACTGTTCTCTTGGTGACTACACTCAACAGTGTGGTAGGACTGAATCTTGCAATTTCCCCTGTGAACTGAACTTGAAAAAAAAACAAAACAAAAGGGAGACATATTTTATTTCATTTTTGAACCACTTATAGTTCCAACATTTCTATGGACAGTTGAAAAAAAGCTGAATTTGTATCTTGGTTATTGTCTGGTTGATTGATATTTGTTTGTTTTGTTGTTTAATTCATGTTTCAATAGTTTTGTTTTAAAAGAACAAGCGTTCATTACTTTGAGCATTGAGCACTGAGGACACCAAAATAAGTGGAACTAAAACCATAAAGTAGCACTTTATAAACTAGAATTTAAAGCTAAACTAATACCTGAACCGTAAACAGAGATTAATACTTACCTTAGCCGACTTAAATCCTAAACCCTAACTGAGAGTACAGATATAAAAATCTAATTAATTACTGAAACTTTAACAGAGTGCACCAGTTAGCCTGACAAACTGAAAAGATGGGTAAACTACTGATTGTCCACGGACTGCGTCATTAAAATTAAATGTATTATATTGATTAACACAAGGTGAATATCTGAAAAAAAAGGCATCCCTTTTTAATATATAATATATTTAATCAATATAATATAGTTAATTTTAGTTAAATATATTTAACTAAATTAAAGATATTTCTGTTTCTGAGGTAACAGATATCATGGACAGACCCAGAAACTTGGAAGCGGAAAACCCTCTTCCTCCAGAAGGGTTCCATCTCACCTTCTCGACTCAAAGTAAGACAGCGGTCTCTTTCTTTCATACGCTCTGGTTTTGACGCTGTTTGATTTAAGAGGTTTAGACCCCTTTATAGATGTAAATACATATATACATACATATATTAGCTCACTTTATGCTTCCCTTACCTTCATGCCTCAAAGTCTTAGAGCCACCCCTTTCCCAAAGAGTGCCTTAAGCCTTAGGCCTGATCCACACATGCTGCGTCTGTGTGGCGTGAGCGGTGTGGGAAAGTCATGCTTTTCATTTCAGTGCCCATGTAAACTGGTCAGCGCTGTCACACAGGCTGCTGTCACACGGCGTGCAAAATACACTGAAATAAGCCATTAAACACAAGTGAAAATTAAACAGAAAACCATGTACAAGTTTAAATATGCTATCTTAGTTGAATGTAATTTAATTCTTGACTAAATACTAGTTAAACATTCCGTGCTGCAAACAGATTTCCCGGTTGGTCTACCAGGCCTGATACTTTTGCCTAAACACAAAGTCAGAATGCTGCTGAGGATAAACAAATATACCGTGCACTCTTATGAATTCTATTTCTATTGAGTGACTGATGTGACCATCTATCTGTCTGGATAAAAGAATGTCTGTGTAATTTTCTTGCTGCTCTGCTCCGCAGCACAAACTCTGTATGTATGGCCAGTGCGTTCGAGCTGTAGCGCTCATGCGTTGCTCATGCCATGCAGAAGCAGTATGTGTGAATAAGGCCATTCCAGTGGTTGACTACATTATCTGAGTTCTGTATGTTTCTCCTTCAATCAATTATATCATGGAAAGTTATTTGAATTTAGTTTGATATTTAGCCCAATAAATTGGTGAAATTAGTCCATAAGTGACCTGTTGATCAGTTTTATTAACGTTAACGCAAAAAGAAACACTGAAAAACACAGCATGAAGCAAATGATGCCAGAAACTGAAACATGAGAACTTCTTATACAAAGGATAAGAATAGCAACCACCTGGGAAAGAAGGGTAACAAACTACACACAGATGGAAACACTGATGAAAAGGCGGGGCTACATGGGACAAAACAGGAGAGGGTGGGGCCAGGAACACTGTGACATCACTAATTTGTAAACCACAAACAAGTAATGGTTTATGTGTGTCTTACAAAATAATGGTAATATATTCATTTAAGTAAAATAACTCTAAATACCTTATTAGTTCCTGATAAATCAATTATGAAGCAAAAGTTAAAAGACGTCTTATAAGCTATTGCTATTACTGTTACTAAATCACTTTTTTGATATGATTTAACAGTTTGTGAATGTTTATGGAGGATACACTGAACATCAGGGTGGTCTTACTGAAATATATGATCTCAGACAGCAGCCGTGTGAAAGAACAGGGCGTGGCCTCATTACTAATAGCTGTGTACTGGTTTATTTTCACCCCACAAACTGCAGCGTCTGTGACGATCCTCACTCTACAAAGAGCTTTTTATCCCCCACAGCCTACAAACTGCACAGGGCTCATGGTCTTTTCCCCTCATTATCTAATGAACTGGATTAGGTGACCCCACACTCTAAACAACACAATGATCTGAATGACCACCAGGTCAAAGTGTGTTTGAGGGTCTGTGTTTAAACTTCTGATCATTTACAGAGTTTAATTCCAGAATGATTGTGTAGTTTTTGTAATATTTCTGTACATTAAATGTACATTTAGTGTGTTTCTGTACACAAACAGACCTGAGAACATTGTGATCGTCTCTTTTTAAATACATGACTTTTTACAGGAAGACTCATATGTGTTAGTGGTTTAGCAGCTCCCTCTAGTGGTGGAGATGTTTAATGCACATAAACATGTCAAATGGGGTTTAAAAGGCTTTGATGTTTATTTGTGTTTATATTTAAATGTACAGATAAAGAAAAGCTGTGGCTGCTACTTCAGGAGGTTATCAGGCTTGTGTGGATGATGATCCCATAAATCTCCACATTGGAGCTGCTGTCTTTGAGGAAACACCTCAGAGCTGAAGAGGCAGCACCTTCACTGCTTTAGAGGCAGCTGATCACTGATTACGAGGCAGCGCCCTCGATAAACATTTAAATACAATATCATTTACATCAATTTCACTCTTTAACGGATTGACTGTCTCTTTTAGAGGATCCTGTGTGTTTGTGTTGGTTTTCACACAAAGTTCTTTTAGATCAGGAATCGTGTAGTAAACTTGTTCCCTCTTCATTCAGAATGTAAAGGCAGATGTTTCTGATTTGTTCAGGGTTCAGGATCTCGGAGGCTGTTGTGTCTGATGTCACTCAGCTGGTGTGGAGGGATTCTGGACAGTCAGTGACGTTCCAGAGGCTGTAAAGGTGAATCTTGAATGTTTTCATATTCATCTTTCACAAAGTGCAGCTATAAAACATTTGAATGGAATGAATTTTTATGTTTTCTTTTAATGCAGAAAAAAGAACCCAATTTTAGCTCAACTGTAGTCACATTATTGAGCTCTGACTCCATTCAGCTCAGATCTCACAGCCTCTACATACGAACAGTAAAGATGAATATCAGACAGACGTATTGATCATTTTCAAATTCAGCTCCAAATCTGAGATGATCTTAAAATCATCTACATTTCTGACCATAAACTGAAGCAGATTTGAGCTTTTATAGGTTCACACGTTTCTTCACATTTGATGAATTAACTCTGCTTTTTACATCACTGTAAATCACCTGCAGTAGCTGTAAACCCTGTGACGGGAGATGGAGACGCATTTATCTCAGGACTTTTTCAGCAGGTGGAGCTTTAGATTCTCTTTATTTCTGTCAAAGTGGAAACACTTTATATATTTTGATTGACGTTAAACTTGTAAGATGGTTTTAGTCCAAAATCAAGCAATTTCCAGGAAAACCTTCCGGGATTTTCACTGAAGAAGAGTCTGGATTGTTCCTGAACCAGAACCAGAACCACAAGAACCGGCTCTGGACTGCTCACATCTGCACAGTTAGATAGTTCTGTACTGCAAACTGATTCAGGACACAAGTCGAACGGAACAAATTCGGTCCACCTCAAACAAAGAATGGCTGTGCATACGTCTGTTTTTCTTTATTAGTGTAGCCACAGTTTGTGTGTAACTGTCTGGTACACTGATGGTAACAGCTTCGACAGTGAGAAACTCAGTGTTGTTGTTTTGTGTTCCATTGTACAAATTAGGAGTCAAAGAAGGTTTTTATTGTGTCCTTAATGTAATTTCTTTGGGTGAGTCTGAACCCGGGACGCTGCCTAATTAACTGGTAGTGATTCAAGACTCTGAAGAATCATTTTCTAGTAGCTACCTGTGGTTAATTATACATCATATCTTTAAAAAGTACTAAAATTTAAAAAATTAAAAATTACAGAACTATTAATTTCTACACAAACGTACAAATTATGTCAATAAACCAAATCAAATTTTCGGAGAGATTTATGCTCAGCAGTGTCCAAAGCTTAATAAACCCAGTGAGGAATAAAGTTTTACAGTGCACTGAATTTGCATGGTCTAATAAATCTAAGCTCAGTCTTACAGTGTTGCTGTTGTGTTGATCCTTTATGAAACCAGAAAACTCCTCAGAAAGCATCCCTAGAAGTTATGTAGCCTCCTGACCTCTGAGTGACATCATATCCAGGTCTGAGAGTGCAGCACTGCGGCTCTGCAGACAGACCTTCACTGGAAAAGTCTCATATATGTTGGTTAGTGGTTTGACGGCTCCCTCTAGTGGTGGAGATGTTTACAGCACTCTGAAGCTAATCAGCATCAGAAAACCTAGACAGTCAGTTTAGCTTGAATACTTCTGGTTATATTATATAATGGCTTCCCTGTTCCCTTATGCTAACGGTTAGCCGTTCTATACTGAGTTTATAAGCCTTGTAACTGAGGTAAATATTATGTGCTTTTGGGTTAAAATGTGTTTGAACATGTTAACAATGATCTTTATTGGTGTTAAATGCTGAGTTTGGAGAGTTTTGTGAAAAGACTCTGGAGAGGAAAGAGAAGAACTCCAGGCTGAGTGTGGTCAGTGCTAATGATCGTAGCTGCTTTTACATCACAGCCAACGGAAACACTTCACTTTACCTCTCTGCTAAAGCAAGTGTAGCTGTGAGATGCCCTGCGTTCAGCTAAATCAGCCTGCCTCTCTGGTCTCATTAATAATTCAAACACAAACTCCCGTCATCTTTTCTCAACAGTCACTAAATTATTTACACCCCCTGAAACCTCTGTGGCTGCCTCCCCTGCACTCTGCGACTCATTTTTAGATTTCTTTAAATCAAAAATTGCACGAATCAACAGCTTTCTGCTATCCCCTACTAATAATACCTCTTCCCTTTCCTCTCTGACTGTCCATTCTATAAGTCGAAGCCCCCCTCCTCTAATCTCTCTACCTTTAACGCTGTTGATTCTTCTTCCATTATATACACCATAACTACTTCTAAAACTACGACTTGTTCTCTTGATCCCCTTCCAACAACCTTAACTAAAGCTTGTCTTTCTGCCCTGGTCCCTCATCTCACAATTCTTGTCAATAACTCGCTTCTCTGTGGACAGTAGGGGTGGGAATCTTTAGGCACCTCACGATTCGATTCGATTACGATTCAGAGGCTGCGATGCGATTATAAAACGATTATCGATGCATCTTTTTTCTCTATACAGGATCTCTTTCTTCCTACTGTCTGAGGACTTGGTAGTTTTAAAGCAAAGTATTTGTAATGATCCATAATGTAAATGCATTATGGATCATTACAAATACTTTGCTTTACATATCTAAAATATCTTTTATTAATAAATCAAATTGAAGTGATGTGGCAAGTGAACTAGAAGGCTCTCATTCGGAGACGCTGCTGCCACTCATCTGCGATAAAATCCCCTGTTACCCTGAAATAAGATCCAGTGGTAACGGGTGTCCACGCAGCACATTACAGCCGTCCTTCCCGTTTTCTTTAGTGATTTTCGAGACTGGACGCTGAATCTCGGCTCCAAAGTGTGCAGCATAGCGCGAAAGCCCTGGTTCTCAACGACTGAGAGCAGACAGCAGACAGCAGGTCACACAGCACCGAAGTCTGGCCTCGCCAGTAGCGAACGAAAAAACAGATTAAGACGAACATTTGGAGACTTATTCGCATTTAGAAGCAGCGCGGTTGGTTAAATCTGCTGAGAGACGGTCTTTCTCTAAAACGTTGCGAAAATGAACTCGCTTCTCTTTCGTATTTTCCCGTTCCACCTTAAATGGTGCAGCAGTTACGTTCGGCGCCTAAGGCGAATTTAAGGTGGAACGGGAAAATTAGAATGAGAAACTGGCGAATGAGAAGCGACTTCAGCCTCGTAAAACAGCCGGACGCTGAGACATTTTACAGGAAACTCTTCTAGTTTTGAGGAAAAGTTTTCTGGCGGAGATGGGAGGAAAGCGGCTATTGCTGAAGCTTAAAGTACAGCAAATTAAATCTGCGCTCTCGTTTATATTTTTAGCCCATACTAGGACATTAACACACACTGAGACATACTGGGCATTGACTGTTGCGGCTCCCGAGGTGGTTTGATTTTTGCTGGAAGGTCAAAATGTCCCTCTCATAGCACAGAAACTGCCTTAATAAAGGTCACTAATGACCATCTGGTGTCTGTGGATATTGGTGCTCTTACCATCCTTCTGCTACTTGACTTGAGTGCAGCCTTTGATACGGTGAGCCACTCAATCCTCCTATCAAGGCTGCATGATCTGGGCATTAGGGGCACTGTCCTGGAGTGGTTTAAGTCATATCTGACTGGCAGAAAACAGTTTGTCACCCTTGGTGGCCATACTTCTCAAACATCTGTGGCTACTCAGGGGGTCCCTCAAGGCTCAGTCCTTGGACCTCGTATGTTTATTGTGTTCATGCTTCCTCTTGGCCACATAATATGTAGTTTCAAGCTGAACTTTCACTGTTATGCTTGAAAACTGCATAACAGAAATTAAAACCTGGATGAAGCACAACTTTCTCATGTTAAATAGCAATAAAACAGAACTTATTCTTATAAGATCCAAATCAACTCTCTCTAAAACCTCTTCTTCCTCTCTTTCCATCGACAATGTAACTCTGTCTCCGTCCCCTCTGGTACGAAATCTGGGCGTTCTCTTTCACTCAACTCTCTCATTCAGTGCACACATCAACTCTGTAGTTAAAACTTCTTTTTTCCATCTCCGTAACATTGCGAAAATTTGAGATTTCATCACTCTCTCAGTCTGCTGCAGAAACCCTTATTCATGCATTCATTTCTAGTCGCCTGGACTATTGTAACTCTCTACTTGCTGGTATTAACTCATCCCATTTATGCAAACTCCAGATGGTACAGAACTCTGCTGCTCGCCTCCTCACCCGCACCTGCACATCAGCATATTACACCCATCCAGCAACATCTCCACTGGCTTCCTGTAAAATACCGCATACAATTCAAAATTCTTCTCCTCACATACAGAGCTCTACATAACCTTGCTCCCTCTTACCTGTCTGATCTACTTATTCTCCACAAACCAACTCGCACTCTCAGGTCTTCCTCTGCTGGTTTACTCACTGTCCCACGTTCCAACCTACATGGGTAGGGTGATCGTGCTTTCTCTAGGCTGGCTCCCCGACTCTGGAACTCTCTTCCCTCACATATTCAACAGGCCAGCTCTCTTTCTACTTTTAAATCTAAACTTAAAAGCTCTCTCTTTTCTATTGCTTATAACTGTTCTCAATCTTAAACCAGTCATTTTGCCAAGTCCTGCTATGTTTTTGCTTGCGATGTTGTGACTGTGCTTCGCGTTCTCATGTCTGTCTTTACTGTTCTGTATTTTGAAAACCTGTAAGCGTCTTTGAGTTCTTGAAAAGCGCTATGTAAGTATGATGTATTATTATTATTATTATTATTATTATTAGTTGCAGCTTTAATATGACACCTCCATCTTGTATTTATTATAAGAAATATTGAAGTTATGAAGTAAAGAATGTGACGACAGCAAGTTCTGAACTGCAGACAGTTCTGTGGACTTTGAAAGTCAAAAGATGCAAATAGTTTCCTTTTCTATGAAGGTTTTACTACATGAATACTTTGATCTGTTATCAGTGATGAGCTTTTTCTGAAAATATATAAGAGAACTGCTGTAGATTTTATTACTGCTTTGAATGGACGGTCTGGGTCAGTTCTGAGGTCAGTGGAGTTCACAGCAGAAGGACTGAGATGGTGCTGTTTTCATTTCTCAGCTGCAGTAATGAAGCAGAGAAGTGAAGATCCTCACAGAGACTGCAGCTCTCTTACAAGCTGGAGTCAGTTTCCTCTGTTACTTTCATTTCTGAGCTGCACAACTTTTTATTCCTTGAAATTCCAGCAACTGTACAGGAAAATAACTGTAGTCTCTCATTTTCCTCCTCTCTTTCTCCACCTCCTCTCTGTGACACACTAACCAGCAGAAAACCAGGAAGTCCCTCCTACTCAGTTCAGACAAAACGAAACTGATCTCAGAGAGCTGCTCTCTCTCCGTCTAGAAGGGCAGGAAAATGGCCAGTATTTCAGTAGAACAAGACCAGTTCAGCTGTCCAGTCTGTCTGGATCTGCTGAAGGATCCAGTGACCATCCACTGTGGACACAGTTTCTGTAAGGTGTGTATTAATGGCTGCTGGGATCAGGAGGATCAGAGGGGGGTCTACAGCTGCCCCCAGTGCAGAGAGACTTTTGCTCCAAGGCCTGTTCTACGCAGAAACAACATGCTGGCTGAAGTGGTGGAGAAACTGAAGAAGACAGAACTCCGAGCTGCTCCTCCTGCTCCCCGTTACGCTGGACCTGGAGATGTGGAGTGTGATTTCTGCACTGGGAGAAAACTCAAAGCCATCAAGTCCTGTCTGACGTGTCTGGCCTCCTTTTGTGAAACTCATCTTAAACCTCACTGTGAAGTTCCTGCATTGAAAAAGCACAAGCTGGTCAAAGCCTCCTCACAGCTACAGGAGAAGATCTGCTCTCAGCACGACAAACTGATCGAGATCTACTGTCGTACTGACCAAAGCTGCATCTGCTATTTGTGTACAATGGATAAACACAAAGGTCACGATACAGTCCCAGCTGCAACTGAGAGAACCGAGAAACAGGTCAGAACTAGAAATCATTTGGTTCAGTTCAGGCTAATTGGGTTTGTAGTCTAGAATGAGCTGCATTAATCAGGTAAACAGTTTAAACTGATCTCTCAGTTCTTGAATTCAAGCAGTGAGTTTTCAGTAAACAGGTCAGACCAATCAGTGATCCTGTGACCAGTCAACACCCGTCTTCCAGTCTTACAGTGATCACATGACAGAGTGCAAACTGTACAAAACAAGTGTTTCACTTCTTTAGGTCTTTAAAACTCATTAACATCACAAAATGTATTTATTCATAGAATCAGCTGAAGGAGATTCAGAGTAAATTCCAGCAGAGAATCCAGGAGAAACAGAAGAAGCAGCAGGAGCTGAAACAGGCTGTGGAGACTCTTAAGGTGAGAACTGAGCAGAGATTTGATGTTTCAGAGCTCAGTCAGTCTCTCAGGTGTGCTGATTTGTGTTGAGATAGAGGGGTAGAGTGAAGTGTTTGGGCTACATGTCCCCCCAAACAGAGGTTTTTCAGAGTCACACTCCAAACGAAGTTATGAGAAAAACAGAAAAAGACGGTAAGACGGCTGCACAAGCGACAAAAGAAACCCACAAATATGAGAATTTTCACCATTAAAAATTATGATAACCATTATATCAGCTTAGATTAATGGTGTTTCAGTGTATTACGGTCTTTTCTTCATCAGTATCACGAGTAATTTGCTGATGTCT